GGACCCGGGGCAACACCAGCTTCATTAACCCGTAGAGGCCAGAGTAGTGCTTGTTGGGAATCCAGGAGACCTGGGGCTGTGGGTGGGAGGGACAGGGCATGAGGCTGGCAGAGAAGGCCCTGTGAGTGCCAGAACATACTCGGGGGGACCCAGGGAAGTAGAGGGGAGGGGTGTCGAGGGGGTTGAGGGATTTGAACTTGAGCAGGCGCGGTGGGACTCTAGGGTCCGGGAGGAAGGAGCGGGCTGGGCGCGGCCGGGGAGAGGCCCAGAGCTCCTGCCTTGAGCTCATCCGCGTCGTAGAAGCTGATCCCGAGCGCGGGCACCATCCACGTGTGGAAGAGCGTCTCCAGGATATTTCTGGCCACAGCATCAGTCACCAAGTGGAGGTGCAGCGGATTTTTCCTGGGCGAGGACAGGAGAGAAGGCGGGTAGGCCTTAGAAGGAGCCCCTGGGGATGAGCCCCACCCCAAGCGGCGCGGAGGCGGAGGCCCCAGCTTCTGCAGAGCTTCCAGGGCAGCCTATTCCTTCCAGCGCCTTCAGGGGAAGAAGGGGCCATGGCCAGAGCAGAAGACAGGTCAAGGCCACAGACAGGGAGGCTGGGCCCCGAGGCTGGGCGCCCCCGCCGGCCCTCCCTCTCTGCCACCTGGCTGTACCTGTAGAAGAGCATGGATTTCACCAGGGTAATGACATCGCGGCTGGAGTTGTGTCCCGCACACACCAGGGCCACATGCAAGAGCTGGGGGGGCGGGGGGGACACTGAGGTCGGCGGCAGCCCCCTCCATCCGCTCGACCTGAGGACCAGGGGCGGGCCGGCCTGGCCTCGGGCTCGGGAAGGGGAGGGGGCGCCGCGGAAGTCCAGCCCCCTCATTTCATGCCCCGGGAAACTGAGGCGGGAGCCAGGAAGTCGCACCCCCGAGGCGCCTCTGGCCGGCCGGCGCCCGAGCCACGCCAGGTGCCGCGCGTCCCACAGGTGCCCAGGTGGCAGGCGCCGCCCGGCCCCAGCAGCCGCCGCCAGGGGCCGCGCCACCTACCTCGCACTTGGGCGGCAGCGGCGGCGGCCGGGCGCAGTCGGGGCGGCTGTGCTCCCCGCGGGCCGCCGGCGGGTCTCCGTCGAGGGCGGCCGCCGCCCGCCACCGGCCGTCTGGGGGGACACGCGGCGTCAGCGGGCGGGGAAGGGCCGCGGCGCCCCCACCCTCGCCTCCCGGCCGGCCGCACTCACACTCCAGGTCCCCGCCGAGCAGGAAGAAGCCGATCAGGAGCAGCAGCAGCAGCGCGGCGGCCCCCAGGGCCCGGGGGCGCCCTCGGGGCAGCATGGCCGCCAAGGGGGGCGCTCAGGGCGGGGCGCGCCCCCGGGCTGCGGGCTCCATCGCGGACCCTGCGGGTCCCGGGCGAGGCGGGCGCGTGGGCCTTGGGCGGCGGGGCCCGACGGCTGCCCGGTCCCTTCCCCGCGCCGAGGGGCCGCCCCACCTGCTCCCGCGGCTCAGGGGCCCCGACCTCGCTCGTCGGGAGCCGGCGCGGGTTGCGGGCAGGGGCGGTGGAGGCCGGGCCGGCCGGGGCCCCGCGGGAGCCAGCCCCGCCCCCAACCTGGGCTCAGGTTTCACCTACGCTTGGCTGAGCTCGAGGGGGCGGGGAGACCCCCGGGAAGCCTGGCCCTGCAGCCGGCCTCGGCACCCGACGACCCGCCTCGCGCAGCCCGGGGGCCCCGGGGAGCCCCTGGAATGGCCGGAGGCGCAGGGCTCAGCCACCCGCGAAGGCCCGGTCTCCGGTACCTGCCCGGGACCCATCCCCCCGCTCCCTGCTTTGGGGCTCCACCTCCTCTTTTAACCTCCCCTTGGGGGAGGGGCCGTGACCCCGGGTCCGGGAGAAAAGGGGCGGCTGGCCTGGGGGACGGGGCTTGGCAGCCTCGCCGCGGGGTCCCAGACACCTGCTCCGGGGACGGGAGGCGGGGCCGGCCCGGACCTGCCCGGGGCCGCTCGGCACCTGGAGCCGCTGCCTCGTTCCGGCCCTCCCGTCCCCTGCACCCCGCGCCCAGGCGGCCCGGGCGGGCTTGGCGGAGGCCCTGACGAAACAGCCTCGTGAAGGCCGCCTCCTTGGCGGGAGCTGGCGAGGGCCCCTGGCCCGCCTGGGCACGATCCGGTGTCCCCACTCGGGCCCAGGTGGCGGAGATGGAGGAGATGCACCCGAGCCGTGCCCGCGCCCTTCCTCCGCACCCCCCTGGCCCCCCACGGCAGGCCCCGGCGCCGCCTGTCCCTGGAGGGAGTGGTGGGTTCTCGGGACGGTGAACGGGACAGCCAGGGTGGGCTGAGCGCATGAGCCCTGTGCTGAGGTTGGCCAGGCCCCATCTCCGTTAGCCCTCACGTCAGTCCTGGGACACCCAGATTCCGCGGCCCCCTGGCTGGACGCGACCTGATAGAACAGCCTCCAGTTCCTTCTCCAGCTTCTACCCCGGGGACAGAGCTTCCTGCCTACTCCTCCCTGAGGGTTTCCAGCCCAGGTCTTGACCCTGGTGTGCCTTCTGCCTGCAAAGCAAATTCTCGCAAGGCAGCTTCTCTCCTCCCACACCCCTCTTATTAGCTCCCGGCACTCCCGGAAGTTGACCTCAGTGACGTGGCCACAGCCTCTCTCCCTGCTAGGAGGCAGCTGCTCAGGTGACGGAGGCCTTGGTTCTCCTTTCCTGCCTTGGATCCCCAGTGCTCAAAATTGGGTGAGAATGACAATATGCGCCCCCATGACTCCCTCGGTGCCTTGAAGGCCTTTCTCTGGGAGAGATGGGGTCTTTCCCTGGTAGGTTGGGCTTTTGAGCCTTTGGAGGCGAGGGGCAGTGGTTGCCACGGAGACTGAGGGTGGTTCCCTGTGCATCAAGGAGTTGAGAGGAGAAGGGGCAATTCAGGGGCCACTCAAGGGTCTGGAGCTTTGAGTCTCCAAATCCCCTGACCCTCTTCTCTGGCGTAGTCTTGGGGTGGGGGTGGGCCATTTCCTTCCCCAACAAGCCCCCACAGACAATTAAGCCCCGCATTTAATCATGGGGTTAAATGTGAGGGTGCAGGTAGGGTACATGTTCAGGGCCTGGCCAGGGAGTTTATGAGCAGAGGCTGGGTCTGCAGGTCTCACATGTCACTGGCAAGGAAGGCTCCACCCTTCATCCTTTCCACTCAGGGGAAACTGAGGTCCTGCTGGGCATCCAAGGGGTTGTTGCTGGGCATGGAGGGGGAGAATGAGACAGGCATGGGCATAGGAAAGGGTGTTGGTCTGGGCCTGAAACTTAGTTTGGTCCAGCTCTGCCTAGGACTCTGCTGTGTGACCTCGGAGCAGTCTGACTCCCTCTCTGGGCTTCATTTGTGTCTGTTGGACATTCTAGCTCTCTCCTCCTGTACTTCAGAGCCGACTGAAGGGGGAAAGCCCAGATCCAACCTGCCCAGAGGCCCTTCCAGCCTAGCCAGGTGACCAAATCCAGGCAGGGGCCCAGCAGGGAGGAGCTGCTTCTGCACACGGCCATTATTTGTCTCTGACACCTAATCAGACCCAAGATCTGAAGAGGAAATTTAGGCACACCTGCTCTAGCCAACTTGGCTGGGTCCGTGCTTCCTACCCAGTCCTGAAGGCAGGGAGGGAGGAGGAAGAGGTTCCAGCCCCGGCACCCTTCATATGCTGTCTGCCCATCAAGGAGACTGCCTGTCTGTCCTCCACCCCTCTCTTTCCTCCTCAGAAGCTCAGGACCAACAGCCTTGGGGCAAAGAAGCCCCATATTCCTCCTCACTGTGGCCACAGCTGCAGAGGGAGGGTTGGAAAAGTGGCCCCTGGTGAGGTTTGGGGAGCAAGTATACTAAGGTGGGCGGGTGCAGGGAGGAACAGAGGCAGTCCCGTGCCCAATACCTAAAGCCCTGGTCCAAATCCAGTTGCTAACTTGACTCATGATAAATGGCCTCGATGTGCCACTGCCCTTGCTGGGCTGTGAGCACTGGAGGAAGGACATTGCCCTGGGAGACCTGCTTTGCAAGCAATTTGGCCAGCGCCTTGGCTCTTGACCTGCGAGCAGTCTTTCCTCCTCTGTGAGCCTCCTATTCCCTCATTTGTGATAATGTGCTCATGCCAATCTGTCTCTGAGCGCGCCTGGCACCCAGGGTGGTGAGGAACGCGGCTGCTGCGCCCACGGCCACCTCCTCCTTCACCAGGACTTTGCTTCTCCCGAGGCCCCTGGACACATATTCCTGGGTCTTCATTCCTTGGCCTGAGCAGGGAGGGCAGCACTAACTCCCCAGCTGACAGAAGAAAACTAAGCTGGGGTGCAGGGTGGGGGGCGGGAGCGCGAGGAGGGGCTGTGGCTTTCAGACGAAGTGCGTCGCTCAAAACGCCTAGACTCCGTGGTCAGACTAGGCCAGGATTCGAATCTTGACTGGACGTTCTTAGCCTGATCCTTTCCTCACCTGAAAAAAGTAACGTCTTGGTGAAATAACGCTTTGGTCTTCTCAGGACACCGCCAGGCCGCGGGCGGGTCCCCGGGCGCAGCCCCCCGCGCCCCGCCCCTGCCCCACAGCCAACCAGCGGCCGCTCCGGGCTCGGGGCCTCCGCCCCCGGCCGCGCCTCTCCCCGCCCCGCCCCGTGCAGGTGGCAGCCCCGTGGAGGGAGTCTCCATCTGGGGAGACTCAGCTGGGGCCCCACTGGGGACACAGAGGGGCATCCGAGGGCCGAAGAGCGCTTTGGGGTTGATCCCGAGGTCGAGGACCAAGTCCGCCCTCGGGCATTTTCACAGACGGGGAAGCCCGAGGTCCAGAGGAGGGACGCTCCCGACCAGGGTCACCCCGAGCAGGGAGCAGAAGCCCGAGCAAGGAAGGGGGTCCTCCGCGGAGGTGGGAGTACGGGTGCGTGTTCTTGGGGGGCCCAGTCCACGCGGGCGCTGGTGCCGACACCCGGGCACCAACGGTTCTGACAGCCTGGGGGGGCGGGCTCCTGCGTTGCCTCAGTTTTACAGCCTCTGGGGGGGTCGGGAGACGAGCAACGGACTAAACGCGCGCCGCCGAGACGCAGCCGGGCTCTCAGATGCTCCCTACGTCTTCCCAAATGTGATGGAGGCTCCTTTTCGCGCGCTGCCTCCCAGCCCTCTCAAAGTTGGTCCTCCCGTTCGAGCCTCTCGGCGTTCCATTGGAATGACTCCTGCCTCCCGGCCCCTTCTCCGGAATGGATTGCTCAGACTGCCGCCGGGGCTGTAACTGCGCAGGCGTGAGAGCAGCCAACCCGGAAGGCGGAAGAGCCGGGTCTGGACGCCATTGGGAGGGCCGGGGGCGGAGGCTGTGTTAACCAATGATCTGACGGGGAAGGGAGGGGCGGGATGAGGCCCGCAGTTGCTAAGCGCTACCGTAGTGGGAGGTGATTTAAGAGATGGGGTGAAGGGTGGTCCAGGGCCCTTACGTCACTGATTCGAGCCCGCGGAAGTTAAGCAGTGGGGAGGCGGGCCTGGGACAGGAAGCAGGAAGGAGGGCGCAGGAAGTGGGGCCCGCAGCCAGGCGTCCTGTCGGTCCGTGGGTCTGTCGGTCCCGAGGGCAGTATGGAGAAGCTGCGGCTCCTCAGTCTTCGCTACCAGGAGTACGTGACTCGTCACCCAGCCGCCACGGCCCAGCTGGAGACGGCAGTGCGGGGCCTCAGTTACCTCCTGGCAGGTGCCACCCTGACCTTTGACCCATTCCTTCGGATCTCTGACCTCTGAACTCATTAGCCCCCTTCCCTGCGGAGTCAGGTGGTGACCGCTGTGTCTCAGAAGTTCCTTCCAGCTTCCCATAGGGCGTAGGGAGGGGAGGTCCAGGGACCTGAAGCCGAAGGGCGAGGCAAACGCTCACCGACGCCTCCTTCTGTGCCTTCTCCCCAGGTCGCTTCGCGGAATCGCATGAGCTGTCAGAGTTGGGTGAGCCGCCCTGTGGGGTGGGTCGGGCCTGCTTGAACCCGGGAGAGCTTCCCCGAGGGCTGACTATCCTGTCTCACAGTCCTGGGCTTCCCGTTAGCTCACCCTCTGCCGAGATTGAGTGGGACAAAGTCCACCGTCCCTGTCCTGGGCCCGCCATGTCCTGATAATTTGGGGATCTTGACTGGCCAGGCGGCTGGGCTGGAGGCCTTTCCTACCTTTGCTCAGTTAATTCTCCCTACAGGTATATGAGGTGGGTACTGTTACTGTCCTAAGTGTCCAGTTAAGGGAGCAGAAGTTCAGTGAAGTTGGGGAACAGCCGCTGATGAGTTCCAGAACCAGAATTCAAATCCACATCTCCCAGGTTGCAGTATCCCCAGATTGTAACTGCTTCAGTAGTGCTTGTCCACTGAGAACAGAGGTGACAGTACTGGGAGGATAAGCTGGCAGAGTGTCAGGGAGTGGCTGCAGAGAGAACAAAAACCAGGATGTGGGACCACACATCTCTTGCTGTTTGGGCACTATGGGCTTCAGTAGTGCTTGTCCACTGAGAACAGAGGTGACAGTACTGGGAGGATAAGCTGGCAGAGTGTCAGGGAGTGGCTGCAGAGAGAACAAAAACCAGGATGTGGGACCACACATCTCTTGCTGTTTGGGCACTATGGGCTGATCTGGGCAGCTGGACAGTTGTACTCCCCAGGGAGGCGGTCGCTACTTTGTCACTGAGATCAAACCATTTTTTCTTGTTCCACCTGCTCACTGGAGCTGATATTCGGGAATGTGGAGCTGAGGGAAAGTGGGCGGGGAGTTGGGCTGGTTCCCACATAATCTGTGGGAGCCTGAGCGCAGAAGGTGACAGGTAATCCCTGCAGCTCTGGGGAGAAGGTGAGGGGTGGAAAATGCAGAGCCAGACTTTCAAGTCTACACTCTACCCTTCAGTGTACTCTGCCTCCAACCTGCTTGTGCTGCTCAATGACGGCATCCTAAGGAAGGAGCTGCGAAAAAAGCTGCCCGTGGTAAGAGTTCTGCCAGGAGCTGAGGGTGGGCGGCCCGGAGGCTGGGAATGAAATAGTAAGAGTCAGCCCACATGTGCAGCCCATGTTACGGCCTTGGAGGATGAAACAGGTCGCATCCACCTGCGCCTCAAGCCGTCTCATTAGGTGAAGTATTACAGTGTTTGTGTCCCCATCTCAGATTAGCTTCAGAGAGGTAGAGGAACCTGTCCCCAGTCACCTTCTTGTAGTGATGGAGTCTCCATTCTTAGCCTTTGAAAGTGGAAAGTCTGCATCTCATCAGAGGTTCCCCCTACGGAAAGGGCCTGAGTCTAGGGGAAACCCTGACCTCTTGGCCTGGGGTTCTTGCAGTCGCTGTCCCAGCAGAAGCTGCTGACATGGCTGAGTGTGCTGGAGTGTGTGGAGGTGTTCATGGAGATGGGGGCCGCCAAGGTGTGGGGCGAAGTGGGCCGTTGGCTCGTTATCGCCCTCATCCAGCTGGCCAAGTATGTGGGGATTGTGGAGGGCAGGCCCTGGGAGGGTTAACTGTGGGCAGCTGTGCTGATGGTATTCAGCAAGGCACTCGACCCACTGCCAGCTGGCCCCACCCCGTTCAGCCCTTCCATACCCCAACCCAGGGCTGTACTGCGGATGTTCCTGCTGATCTGGTTCAAGGCTGGCCTCCAGACCTCACCCCCCATCGTCCCGCTGGACAGGGAGGCCCAGGCACAGCCCCCGGGTAAGCTGCTTCCCTGCTTCAGTGGAGTGGGGCATGGGACTGATTTGTGGATTTCAGCTGACGTAAATATAGTTTGCTTGTTTGTGGAGCACAGCTTTCCTCAGCAACACATTTTGTTCCCATTACCCTATACTTTAATAGAAGAAAGATTAGGTTAGGAACAGGATCAGAATTTGGACTTAAGACTTTTTTTTTTAAAGATTTATTTATTTATGCATACAAGAGCTGGGGTGCAGGCCAGAGATGAGGGGAGGGGTGAGAGGATTCACCAGAGACAGAGTGGGGAGCAGAACAGGCAGACTGATGAAACACACTGCTGAGGGGAGCAACAGGCGAGACAGGAGAGGTCTGCTTCGCCTTGTGGGTTGCTCCCTGGCCGGCTGGGGATCAAATTCGTGCTGCAGGGGCTGCGGATTGCTTCATAGTATGGTGCTTAACCCCTTGTGCCACCAGGGAGGCCCTGGACTTAAGACTTTTGATGACAGAGTCCTGAGGACGAGGGGACAGAGCCGCAGCAGCTGCAGTTCTGCCATTCTCGACTGTGGGCCTGGTTCTGTGTCAGTAGCCAGAGCCTCAGGAGATGGGGCACCTCCAGTCCTTTGGTCTGCCCCTATAGGGCTTTATGCCCACCACCTGTTGGCCCCTGGGCTGCACTCATAGTGCTCTCCTGACCTTGATGGGGGCGGTTCTTTATTTTTCCTCCTAGTCATGTTGAAAGCAAATGACTGAGAAGATGCAGCATCCTCTGGGCTCTTGTCCCCATAAATGTTGCTGGGCTGGTCCCTCTCACCCTGCCTTGCTCCAGTCCCTGAGAAGTTGGAGTCTTTTTTTTTTTTTTAAGACTTATTTTATTTAGTTATGCATACAAGAGCTGGGGTGTAGGTCAGAGGTAAGGAGGGTGAGAGGATTCACCAGAGACAGAGTGGGGAGCAGAACAGGCAGATCTACTGAAATACACTGCTGAGGGAGCAGCGGGTGAGTCAGGAGAGGTCTGCTGTGCCATGTGGGTCACCTCCCTGGCCAGGGATGGAACTCGTGCTGCAGTGGCTGCTGATAGCTTCATAGTGCTGAGACTTAACCCCTTGCGCCACCAGGGAGGCCCAAAGGTGAAGTCTTGGCTGGCTTATCTGTTACAAGTGATGCTGACCTTTCCCTGGGATCAGGGAGGGTTACAGAATGCTCCCCATGGTGGGCAGGGGCTCCACAGACCCTGGCTGCAGTGTCCTTAGCTCAACTGCTACATTAGTACAAACCTATCCATTCACCCCTTAGCCTGTGAGCGTTCTAGGCACGTGTTCTTTGCAGGCTCTACTGGAAGTCTCTCCCTCTGACAGTGTGGCTTTTCCCCTGCTAGATGGTGACAACAGCTCTGGCAGCCAGGAGCAGTCGTATGTGGGAAAGCGGTCTAACCGAGTCCTGCGAACCCTCCAGAATAGTAAGTGTGGGTGTAACTGGGGTCAGTTCTGGGGTCAGCATGGACCTGAGGGTCTAGTTTTGGCCTCCTTCCTCCAATTGGGCCTGATCCTGGCTTGCTCATCTGCTCCCCTGTGTTCTAGCCCCATCCCTGCACTCAAGGCACTGGGGAGCCCCCCAGCAGCGGGAGGGATGGAAGCATCAGCACCAGGAGGAGCTGAGTGTCACCCCCACCCCACTGGGACTGCAGGAGACCATCGCTGAGTCCTTGCATATTGCCCGGCCCCTGCTGCACTGTATCCTTAGCGTGGGCCTGGCGCTACAGGCGGGATGATGGGAGCAGGCGGGTGGGCCACATGTTGGAGATATCCTTGACACCTGGGCCGTCAGTGCTTAGTCTGGGCCTATGGGGTCAGAGGTCGTGGGCACCCTGGCTCCTGTCTGGCGTCGTGGATGTGACCAGGTAAGCTGGGGCCTGCCTGGGGACTGCAGTCCCTCCGCGGCCGCTGTGCTGCTGGCCTGACCTCGTCTCCATCTCCCCCCAGCTTGAGTCTCCTGAGTGACAGGAAGAACCTGAATCGGAGGGAGCAGCTGGAGTTGCGGCGGCGGACCATCCAGCTGCTCTACTACCTGCTGCGCTCCCCGTTCTACGACCGCTTCTCTGAGTAAGGACTCTGCTGGCCCGACGAGTGGCGAGGCCCACCTTCATTGAGGCCAGGGGCAGGGGAAGCAGGGACTTCTTCCACAACCTCAGTTCGGGTCTTCTCTTCTTCACTCCCCCATCTGGGTTCATCAAGCACCCATGTGTGCATTCCTGGGGTGCAGTCACTCCCTCATTTATCAGATGCCAGCCCAGCCCTGCCCTGAGAACTCCTGAGCTGTCATCCTGTGTGGGCAGGAGCCAAAGTAGTTCTCGACAGGAGACGCACCAAGGACGGGGTCACGGGGACCGTGGTGGTGTGGGATTCCACCCAGCTTCCTGTGAAGTAGTTTGGATTATCTCCACCTCTCACAGGTGGCACAGGACAATCAAAGAAGCTGGGTGTTGTTTTTTTTTTTTTTAAGATTTATTTCTTTATGCATATAAGAGCTGGGGTACAGGCCAGAGATGCAGGGGTAGGAGGGTGAGAGGATCCCCCAGAGACAGAGTGGGGAACAGAATAGGCAGACTGAAATACACTGCTGAGGGGAGCAGCGGGTGAGACAGGAGAGGCCTGCTGTGCCATGTGGGTTGCTCCCTGGCCCACCGGGGATTGAAACTCAGGCTAAAGAGGCTGTGGATTGCTTCATAGTGTGGTGCTTAACCCCTCGAGCCACCGGGGAAGCTCCGAAGCCGGGTGGTTTAAACAAAGCCACATGGTGATCAGTGGCAGAGCCAGGTCCCACATGTGTTTGCTCTTGGCCTGTCCCTTCCCAGTCCCCACTATCACCTGTGGAGTCCAGGCTCCCAGCCTCTGCCAGACACAGAGACCTACTGGGGCAAGTGGGGGTGGGCTGGGGGCCATGCCTCCCAAAGGCCTGCCAGGGTGACTGCAGTGATTCTGAGATCTGAGGAGGGGTCCTGTCCAGCGAGTGGAGGTGCACACAGTTTCGAGGCTCCAAGGATCCTCTCTGTCTAGGCCTGAATAAGCACGCTGCCTAAAGACCGCAGTAGTCACTGGAATCACACTTGACACTAGGATCACTCTGCCAGGTGTTTTTTCGAGACGATAGGAAACAAGGTTATAGCATATTTTGCACCACCCTAGTAAAAATACCTTCACCTGGCAGTGCCTATTCCAGGTGCTTTAGAAAGCTCATAGGTACTAAAGCCAAGTCCTCTCCCATGCTCTAGAGCAGCCGTGCTGGAGACTCACGCACCGCGTGACCGCCTGAACGGATCACATGCACTTGGCTGCCAGCCTAGACTTTGGCTCTCCCTCCTGCTCACCTGCCTAGCACCCTCAGAGCCGTGGCCCTGGCTGAGAAGGGTCTAGAAGTCTGTCAGAGAAATTCCTTGTTTCCCCAATGAAAGGGAGTGGGGCTGCCAAGGGGCTCCTGGTGCAGTCTGGGGAGCGGGCAGTCTTTCCTGTTTTTATTGCCAGAACTAGTGGAGCTCCTGGGGCCAGACTGCTCTCAGTTGTGTGGCTTTGGGGCAGTCATTGAACCCCTGTGCGCTCCATGTGCTCATCTATAAAATAGGGACGTCAGAGTACCTACTGCGGGGTTGCTGCAGGCGCTGAATCACTCAGTGCATACAGTGGTGCCTACTATGTAGTAAACGCTTAATGCCCCATCTTCATATTTCCGTTATCATCACCTCAGCCCAGGTTCTGTGGGAAACCCCATTCTCTTAAAAAGCCAGGCCTTGGTCCTTGCCTCTTCCTCTGAGTCAAAAGTATTCTCAGACCGTCCCCTTCTGGGCCCTCAGCTGCTCTTAACATTGGTTATGGGGCTTCTGCCAGTCTGGGGGCTGAGCTCTCCTCCCCTCCGGGCCCTCCAGAAGCTCTCCAGAGCCTGGCCGGGAGCAGCAGGCCCAGGGTGTGCCAGCACGCGTGTCCTGCTGTGCCGTGTCTGTCCTCGCTCCAGTCCCTTTGGGTCTTCCGGGAGGCGCAGCCATTAGTCAGGTGGGCAGAGGAGCCCCACTCAGCCTGCTTCCTGTTTGTTACCTTGCAGAGCCAGAATCCTCTTCCTGCTCCAGCTGCTGGCCAACCACGTCCCGGGCATTGGCCTGGTTGCGAGTAAGCATGGGACTGGGTTATGCTGACCATGGTCTTGTATTTCCCGTGTGGCGACGCCACCTCCCTGTGTGTCTGCTTGCCATGGGGTTCTTGGCACCATGGGGAGGGGGGCTTGGAGGCGAAGCGGGGTGGGCGTGGGCCGAGCTGGCGGAGAGCTTCAGGGGTGGAGGGGTGTCAGCCTTTTTCCTGCCTCACTGGGCTGGGGCTGTCCACATCTGCATCTGGACACGCGTGTGGCTTCTCTGAGCCTGAGCGCCGTTGTCTGCAAATGGGGACAAAGACGGCCACCGCCGCTGCTGCCCCCCCCCCCCGGGCGGGGGCTCGAGAGGCAGCCGGCTCCGGGACCCGTGGTCTTCGGCCAGCAGTAGCCGAGCGGAGCCCTGGGTCGAGCAGAGCGAGCCCAGTCTGGCCCTCGGCCCTGAACTTGGTCCTTTCACTCTCTTTGCAGGACCGCTCATGGATTACTTGCCCACTTGGCAGAAAATTTATTTCTACAGTTGGGGTTGACCGTCGTCCCGGGGGTGGGGCACAGGGAGGGGCAAGGTGGCATGCTCCACTGTGGTGGGCAGGGCGTGTGTCGCCCCTTCAGTCCCCTGGGCCCCTCTCTCTTAATAAAACTGACTTTGGCAGTGTCCATGCCTATGACCTCTCCGTGCTCACGCCCAGGGTGCCGGGCGCTCCTCCCTTGCCAGGCCTGGTGCACAGCCCCGGTCACCAGAGCTCCCCTGACGCCTGCCAGCTGTGACGACACCCTCTGGTGATGGCGCCTCTGCAGCTGTGCCTCGTCACTGGAAGCTCCGCTAGGACTGGGACCCATCTTCCTCAGCACAGAAAGCCGGGGTTGGCCCTCGTGGAGCATGGGGTGCTCCTGCCGTGGCAACAGGGGGTAACTGCTGCTTCATCGGTCCCGTGACTGAACCCAGGCCCTGGGTAGCCGCTGCTCCTCAGCTGGTGACTTGCGGCCGCAGCTGTGCTCTGCTCCTTCTGCAGGGCCTGTTGCTTTGGCCCGGGACTGCCTGCCAGACTCTCTTGGGTAGAGCCTGGTGAATGGAGGGGGAGGTGGGGGTGCTGTGTGCCATGGTACCTCAAGCCCTAAACCTAAGAGTAAAGGCTTTTCTCCCATTGGGAAGGACTCCGGTATCAGCCACCGTGAGGCCAACACCCAGGGGGTGATGAAGGCTGTGGAGCCTGAGGGGCTCTGGGAGAAAACTGGTGCAGGTTTGGGGGGCATAAGGTGAGCTAGCCCCCTTATTCTCTGTGCCAGTTCCTCAGTGGCCAAGTCTGCCGAGAGCCAGGCAGGGGGGTGGGGCCTCACGAGGAGCTCAGACTGGCCACAGGCTGACCTTTCTCCCTGGTCTTCTCCCTCCTCAGCCCCTGCCCTGCACGCTCTGCTCTGAACAGGCCGCGCTCCTGCTGAGCTGCCAGCTTGGCGGCAGACCTAGTGAGTTGTGAGAAGGCACAGTCTACAGCAGCGCCCATTGGGCCTCTCGCCTCCCAGGCTCCCAAGGGCCTCCCTGGTACTGCTTCCCCAGCGTGTCTAAGAAGCCCACCCAGGGCCTTGGCTGGGTGGTGGAGGTTCCGAAAGTTGGGGCGGCCACAGCTTCCGGTGAGTCTAGCACATGCGGGGCACCTGCCCTGCTGCTGTGTTCCGGGTGTTCAGAAAGCGGGGCACCATTGCTTCCCCCAGGCTCTCACTGGTCAGTGGAGGTGTGTGAATCCATGCAGTGCACTGGGCCTGGGAAATAGGGAGTCGTAAGTGGGGGTGGGGGCTGGGCTGCGCTCACTGGCAGCTGGGGAAGGGCTCTATGGGGGGGGGCTTTCGTGCTTTTTTTACTGGGAAAACACCATGTTTCCAATGGGAGAGGGGGCTGTGTGCAAACAACAGCATGCGAGCGTCACGGTGTGACACCACTGCCAGGGCACCTTGTCGCTTGGGCAGAAGGGAGCTGACTCAGGGCAGAGGGAATGAGGTTGGAGGGGAAGGTCAGGGCCAAGACGAACAGGCCATCACACGCCAGCCAGGCAAGAACCCGGGCCTGCCTATGGGGGGGGGGGACCTGCTTCAAACCTCTCCCCCTACCCCCATCGCCTGGTGGAGGGTGTGCTGGTGGGCAGAGATGGAGAACGGGGGCAGCAATGTTGCCAAAGGAGATTGCAGTGGGAAGCAGAGGGGCAAGTAATGGGAATGCAGGGGGCCCAGGGAGGCTCGGGTGTAACCTGACCTGGCCAGGGGCATCTCAGAGGCAAGGAACTTGGAAGGATCAAGTTTGCAGTTTGAGGGGCCAGAACACCCACTCCCCTGCAGGGATGAACCTTGGTGGGGACGGGATGCTAAGGCAGGTTCGTGGGCGATGGGCATGTCTGGGAACTAGCAAGACGGGTGACAGGTGGAGCGTTAGTGTGTGGGCTTAGAGCTCAGCGGACCAGTCAGCCTCAGGTGAGTGGGACCAAGAGCCCAGGTTTGGAGATGAGGGCCATCCCTCTCCGGGCCTTGGGGGCCTGGAGGTAAAGGACAGTTAAAGGACTGGGTAAGGCCAGGTCTGCTGTCCTAGAACAGCCGTATTTCTGAAGGGCAGACTTGGCTGGCACACAAAGCAAGGCCCCTGCAGCTTGCCTCAGGCCTGTGAAGAGACTGTCCCCGGCATACTCTCACATTGCATTTATTCATTCAACAAACATTTCTCAGCACCCACCAGGTCCTCGGGGCTGGAGATCCTGCAGTGAACCAACCAGTCATGCCCTGGGAAGTGTACACTTAGGGCAGCAGGTCCCAGGCTTTGCCACCTCACTTGAAATTCCTCTTTCCATCTTGGGGGTGGCCGGGTCTGTGGAGCCCCTGGGCTAGGTAGGTTATTTTAAGTTTCAGGGAGCAAAATGGGGAAATCCCTGAGACACCGCCCTCCTAGTGGAATCTGAGTGGGCTGGGGCTGTGACTGATCGGGGCTCTTCAGCCAGCAGGTCCTTCCTGGGACTGCTGGAGGAGGGTAGAGGTGGTGGGGGGAGGGTGGAGGAGGCCGAGTGGGAACTGCTGGGGCTCTGGGGATTCGGTGACCAACACTCCTAGGGCTTACTGTGTGCCAGACCTTGTGCACATTATGTATGTACCTTATCGCACAGGTGAGGAAACTGAGGACAGCGTAAGGGACATGTCCGCCTAGCAAGAGTCCAGGTCAGTCAGCATTTCAGCTGAGCCCTGACTCCAGAGGTCTGTGCCCTTAACCCTTGGGTGACACTAAAGAGAGACGAGGTTGGGCACCTGTTGGCCGACTTGAGTAGAACAAACAAAAAACAAACCTCGGGGAGGTTTCTGGCCTAGCCAGGAGCAGGTGTGTGGCTGAGCCCTGGAACTATGCCCTTTGTGAGGTGGCCTGAGAGTTGGCATCAGGTTCCGGTGTTCTGTGAGGGGGAGGGGCAGACAGAAGTCAGGGACTTGAGCAGGAGATGGTTCTCACCATGCTGGGGGCTCTGTGCCCCAGGGCTAGGCTGAACCTCTTTGTTCTCTACATGGTTCTGGCGGCTGCAATCCTCCACCCCCAGCCGTTGAGGTGATTCCTAGGGGACAGAGGGCTGGGGATCCACAAGACTAGGGGGCCTGGAAAGTGGGAGGACTCTGCCGGGCCACCCCTTCTCTCTCCAGAGTAGAGGCTGGCCCTTTACCCTGGGTGTCGGGCCTGGTTCCTCCCTTCACAGGGAGATGGTAGTGGTGGGGCCCATGGCTCAGGACCCCAACATCTCCCACAGGGCTCAACGATCTGTTCCGGAGGAATTTTCAGCCCCCCTGGAACTCTCACAGCCACTTTCTGGCCTGGTGGATGGTAATATCTCCCCTCCCCTCCCCACTCCTGTCGGCCCTGGGCCCTCCCTGTGATGGAGACAGGCCCCAGGGGAGGGTACCCAGCTCCAGCCTCAGGCTTCTCACCCCAAACAGCATTTTCCCAGGGGTGTCTAACAAATTCCAAACCCGTTTCTCCTTCCCACCCACACTCTCTCCTTTCTCTTTAGATTATGGGGTCCGACCCAAGCACCCATGGCCACGAGGGCCTCGGCCCCTCCTCTCCCAGGCCCAGCAGCGCAAGCGGGACGGGCCGGACATGGCTGAGTATTACTACGACACGCAGCTGTGACGGGAACCCCTTATAAAGCTATTCTGTGCAGCAAAGGCCTAGGCTTTGTGGGGTGGGAGCGAGCGGGCGTGGGAGGGGCTCCAAGCAGAGACACCCACTGCGGTCCAGACAGGAAATGGCACTTTAATAGTTGTGGCCAAGGTGGGAGCAGCCCAGAGGCCCCAGCTGGCCCGGAAGATACCTTTTCCTGCCTGGGAGGGCCCCACAGCTCACTCCCCCTCCAGTGAGGCCCCCCATTTGCCAGGGGCCAGCATGCTGGTAAGGCAGGTGTGGAGGTCACCCAAATGACAGCTGAGAACAGGGACGGGGCCTTCACCTGCTGCGGCTCTCTTGCTGCCGAGTCCTCGGAGGTGGCTGGACTTAGCCTGAGCTCAGGACCCAGGGGTTGGGAGTCGGGGGCGAGGGGGTGGGGTGGGCATCCACAGGCGGCGTGGGCTTCAAGGCAGGAGCCGGTAGCCAGAGAGCCAGAGGCCCGGGATGGGGCAGACAACTGCTCCTAGGATGGGTAGCCTTCCCTGTCGGAGGCTCACACCCCACCAGCCCGCCCCTTCCCAATCCCCGGGCAGCCCGCTTTCTCCATAGATGAATCTAATCCCATATATTACAGTAAACTGCATGTGCCTCTCCCCGTAACCCCCACCCCCCCTCGGCCAGTGGCCCCCACTTCCCCATCCTCTGGCGGCGCGTGTCCTCCGCGAGCAGCGCCTCTCCTGTCAGCAGCCAGCTGTCCTGGCACCGGCCCGCGCCCAGGGGCGAAGGCGGCAGCCGCTACTCCAGGTAGATGTCTTCTGTGGGGCAGGTGTACTCCACGAACTGCTTGTAGAACTGCTGGAACGCTCTCCTAGGGGGCAGGTAGGCGCCGGTGACGGGGAGGAATGTGAGCTCCACCCGAGGTTTCCAAATTGGGGTTTGGGAGGGCGCCTGGGGGGGCTCCCAGTTCCCTCTGTCCAAGCTGCTGCTGCCAACTCGCAGCCTCTCTCCAGGGCCCTGCATGGTGGTGTGAGCGCCTTGGGGAGGCCTGGGGGAGACACTGAGCCCGAGGAGTGTGCTCTGAGCCTGAGGTCACTGGGGCTTGCTCGCGGGGGACGCTGGGCAGGATATACACATATACGTACCCCACAGATTCTGCCAGGGCTTTGGTGGATTCTTCAGACACAAAGACATGGCAGGCAAACCGGTGGTCAGCGGGGTGCTTGGTGATGAACCCAAAGTACCTGGGGAAGCCAGCAGCCTGTGAGTGGGACTGGCTCAGACCCTCCAGGCACACTTGAGGACCCACACCCTCCTATCATGGTGCCAGATGACCCCCCACCACCACCTTGACCTCTGTCCCGTCCCGCTTACTTGTTGTTCTTTGGATGGTATCCGCAGAAAGAGATGTTTTTCAACTGGAAAAAGTGGCTACATTTATTCCCCTAGAGGAGGGAGAAGAGAGAAAGAGGGTACCGTCAGCCTGCAGGAGGCGACCCGGGCGGGAGAGCTGGCGGGAGAGCCGGGGGCCAGGGCCGTCACCTTGGCCTCCTGGGAGTCTTCAGCCTTGACGCCTATCTTCACGCCCCGCACGCTGATCTCCAGCACACAGCTGGAGGGCGGGTTAAAGTGCACGGTGAGCCGGCGGGTGGTGGCAATCTGTAGTGAGGGACAGGAGCGTCAGGTGCTGGGAGTCCCTTTTCCGGAGAGACAGCAGGAGCTGGGCCCCGAGCCCAGGGGAGCAGGGAGCAGGTACCTTTTGCATAGCAGCACAGAGGACGTCATTGCCCTTGTGGTAGGGAACCTGGACTGAGCCCAGGAACTTCACCCGGAACTGGTCCACCCAATCACTGTTTTTGGTCAGGGCTGGAAAATAAGTGCGACGTGAGCAGTGGCAGGGCCGGCGGAAGGTGCCACATCTGCACACATCCCAGCCTCCCTCCCCATTCACCTGGCAGCAAGACAGGACGCGACAGAGGTGGGGGCCTGGTGGCACCAGGTAGGGGCAAGGGAGTCCTACCTGCCATGTGATCAGGCTCCTTGGTGACCTCGATGGCATAGTAGGCAGGAAAGATGCCCCGGACACCTGTGCGCATATTGTAGGCCTCATACCAGTAGTCCTCCGCCTGCAGCTCCACCAGCAGGGGATCATCCACTTCCAGCTCCAGTTCATCTTCGTGTCGAGGCACAAACCTGTCCCCGACAAAGAGCACATAAGAAATCCATCGCCAAGGCCGCTCAGCCAGGCCTCACCTGGCCCCCTGCTCTGGGGTCAGAGAGCTACGTCAGCATCACTAGTTGAATAAACATTTGCAAAGCATTCTGTGTGCCTGTTGCATGCTAGTTCCTGGGGGAAGCTGAGCTCGTTCCGACATGGATCTGCCACGAGGAATTCACAGGCCAAGAGAGGGTGATAGAACTGAGTGGTCACGGAAAGTGAGCCCTTGAACGTGGCTGGGGCGCGGGCTCTGTGCTGCTCAGGCAGCATCTGCTGGGAAGCCGCCTGGCTCCTGCAGCACAGCAAAGCCGCGCGGCATGGAAACCAGCCACTCCACCGGCCTCTGAGGTCTCGGAGGGTGGACACTGTCTCTCTGGGGCCGAGTAGATGCATGAACGCCCGAGGTTGGGGGGGCCAGTTTAGGCTGTGAGGCCCAGAGGCCAGGCCCGGCCCGGCCGGGTGTTCTTACCTGAATATGGCCCGGTGGGTCTGCTCCTGCTCCTCCCCATTGATGACACAGGAGAAGAGGCCGAAGGACTCTGCACCTGTAGGGGAGGGGGATGGGCTGGAGAAGGAGGGTCCCAGCTCTGGTTGAGGTTTGGGGGCGGGTGACAGCTCTCGTTCCTAATGCCTTGGGCCAGATGGGCCTGAGGCCACCCCCCCCGCAGAAACACCCTCATTTCGGCACTCCCCAGCCAGGTCTCCCCACGCTCCCTGCTCTGGACTCACTAGAGGAGCGAGAACGGCCACTCATGAAGACGTTCAGGAACTTCTTGGAGAAGTGGACGTCGGGTTCGTCAGGCGTAGAGTCCTCGGACAGGCAGGCGGAGGGCCGAGGTCGGGGGGCCTCCTCATATTCCTCCCCGATGGCCGACTCATAGGGCGAGGAGGCGGAGGCACAGTTGTCGTAGACAGTGGCCGAGTCACTCTCGTCGCTGTAGTCTCCGAAGCAGGGCCGCAGGCTCACCAGCTCCAGCTGTGCGTGCTCATCCACCACCAGCGTGTACTTGACCGAGTCGTAGGACAAGGCGCTGGTGTCCGAGCTCAGTGAAGCCCGTGGAGGTGGCGGCGGCTCCCCCAGGCTCCCCCGCCACCCTCCGCCTGGCGGCTCAACCCGCTCTGGGGACGACAAGCAGTCAAAGCCCTCGTCCTCTTCACTGATGGAGGGGTGGGGCCGCCCCGCCGTTGAGGGGTAGGCAGCAGGGTCTGGATCTGAGCTGACTGACATCCGGCTCTCAGCTGGCGGCAGGAAGGCGGAAGCGGGCTCTGCGGGGTCTGGGGGCCGCTGCACCGGCGTCAGGTAGATCTCCTCAGTGGCCTCTAGCCGCACGTCCGCCTGGTAGTGGATGCGGTCTCGATGCGGGTGACCCCGACCGCCGGGTGGGACAGCAGGGGGGCCGCTGGGAGGTGCCATCTGGGTGGCGGCACTGCGGCGGCAAGGGCTGTCGGTGGAGGTGCCTCGATCCTTGGTGGGGGCGGGGCTGCTCTGGGGTGGCAATTCATCGCTCAGGCAGATGTGTTCATGTGGCGGTGTCTGCTCCCCTGGAGAAGAGGCAGGTCAGTGGGGGAGGCAGGTGCCCTCCCCTGCCTCCCAGGCTACCCTCCACTTAGCATGGTCACATGGAAACTGAGACCAAGCACTCCTGCAGCAGGCCCTTGGAGGCCCTGGGGCCATCCTCTCATGCCACAGTTGCCCATTCATGGGCAGGTTCAAGGCCACAGGCACCTCTAATTGATAAGCTGCAGACTGCTGGGTTTGCTGTCGCAGTAAGGACTGAGTCAGGGCAAGTGGAGATCCAGGTGAGGAAAAGGGTCCTCACTCACCTGTCTTCAGGGGCGAGGACGATCGAGACACCCGATCCTGCCAACTGTGCTTCTTGCCCAGAGAGTTATTATTCAGTGTGTCCTGTGTAAGGAACAAAGGGCTCTTGTGACAAAGGCGGTCAGCAGTGCCCGGCACAGGGAGGTCCTGGCCCTGCCCCCATCAGGCCATCCCTAGGCCATTTGCTGCACCCACCCCACTTGCCAAGGGCCTCACCCCCAGGGCTACTCTGGTGTGGGCGGGGGCGGGGGGGCAGGTCACAGGACTCCCATCTGGGCGCACTGGCCAACTCTCAGGGAGATGCTCTTATCAACCTCAACAAAGGTGGTGGAGACCCGTGTGTGCGGGGGCGAGTGAGGGGAGCAGCAGGAGCTGTCTGGGGACAGACCAGACTCCTGGTCCCAGACACCGAGGGCTGACATGTAAGACGCTCCGTTCCAACCCCAGCCGCATGGAGCTTAGGAAGCTAGGGCCTAGGGAAGGGACAGGGACATTCTGGGAGAGCCTCAGAAGAGCGGAAGGGTCTTCCCAGCAACTGGCCTGGGGGACTGGGATGAATCATCCAAATGACAAATCCACACCGTGCCCCCCACCCCCCGCAGCACATGACTGAGGAATGACAGATGCAACTGTCAGCAGCCCTCCTTCCTGGGCTGCGCGCTCCCCAGTCAGCCCCCCGGACCCCCTCTATAATGCCTCCACACAAGGCTCCTCACGCACAATACAGTCCCCCTCCCCTGGGAACACCCTCACTCTCATGAGTTTGGCAGCCAAAACCCACTCCAGAGGATCCTGGGAAAGGGACCAAACCTTTCCCTGCAGCCCCTGCACCATCCGCCAACAGCCCCACCTCCCGGAGCTGCTCTTCACCTCTCCCGGCTGGGCTGGAAGCCAAAGGGCCCCAGCCGCCTCTCCCCACCCTATTCAACCCTCCTTGGCATCCAGCCACCCAGCCCAGGGGCCCTGAGCCCCCAACCCAGTCGGGCAGCTCCACCTCCCATTTCTGTCCCTGCCTTCTGGGAATTCCCAGCTGCCCGCATTTCCAACTGGCTGCTGCCCCTGAGCTCCCCATCACCACATCGCCACCATTTCCTAAGGCCTGCCCGCGCCGGGACACTTCGATGCTCTTGCACCAGAAACCCCACACCCCGAAGGGAAAGCTGCCAGACGCCCCGGGCGCCACAGCCTTCCGACGCCTTCCAGGGCCTCCGAGACCTCCCCATGCCCTGCTGCTCTCCGCACCCGATCCTGCCTCCGCGCTCCTGAGCCCCTCCCCGCCCCCGGCCCCTCCGCCCAGGCCCCGCTCCCCCGGGACCGACGCCGCCCGACCTCCAGGCCGCCTCCCGCGGGACGCCGCGCCCCCGCCGCACCCCTCCCGCGGGCCTCCGCCCGCGCCGCCCCCCGGCCCTGCCCGGGCGCCGCCCCTTCGGCCGCGCCCCCGCCGCTCGCGCCTCACCTGAGACCGCGGCACCTGCGGGAAGAGGTTGAGGGTGGTCGGCCGCTTGGGGCGGTACGTGTCCCCGCCGCCCTGGCCCTGGCCCTGGCCCTGGCCGCGGGGCGCCGACTCCTGGCGGGGCTCGGCCTCGGGCGGCACGGCTCCCGGCCGGCGCGCCGCGCGCTCCTCCTCGTCGTCCTCCTCGTCGTCCTCGGCGCCGGGAGTGTCCCCGGCCGCGTCGATCAGGTCCATCTGCAGCATCTCGGCCTGCAGCCGGCTGCCCGCGCCGCCGCCGCCCCCAGACAGCAGCCCGGCGCGCGGGGCTGCGCGGCGCAGACGGAGGCGCGTCAGGGGGCGGGGCCGCGCGGCGCGGGGCGGGGCCTCGCAGGGAGGGCGGGGCCTAGCCCGCCGGCACCGCCCCCCGCCCGGGCGAGTCCATTCCGCGGCCGCGTGCGGGGGAGAAGGGAGCGGTCGGGGGGCCGGCGAGACGGGGCCCGCGAGATGGGGCCCGCCCCCTCCCGCCCCCTGCGGGGCAGCGCGCGTCCGCCGCAGCGCTCGCCAGCGGGCGTCCGAGACAGTCCCCACCGCCCCCTGCTCGCGCTCCCCCCCTCTCGGGACTCTGTGTGCCCTCCCGTTCCCTCGGCAACGGGCGATGACCTCACTTGGGCTGTAAGCGGAGTACAGAGTGAGGTCACCGCTGTTGCCATGGGGACGCAGGGTCGCCCAGGAGTTCGGGTCCCACAGGGAGGGAGGCGGGGGCAGTATTTGATGGGAGCCAAGAGGAAAACTAGGAAAACAGCCTCGGCCAGGAGAGGGCTGCGACCTGCGGGAAGGCCGCGGGGCAGAAGACCGGGAAGAGGGGTGCTGGGGGGCGGGGGGGGGCACCTGCACAAGAAAGTGGCACCCCGCCCTCCCCGCCACAGACAGAAGTTCCTCCCTCTGGCCAGCCTCACCTTGACAGGTCCCGCTCTGCCACTAGGCCCTGGCCCCTGGGCAGGGCTGACCCTGTGGCGAAAGTCCCCCACAGCTGGTCTAAGGCCCCCCGCTGCCTCGCCCGGGCGGGAGCAGCGGCCCTAGGGCCTGCGTGCTGCGGGAGAGCGCAGTGTGGGAGCCAGGAACAGGTGTATGACCTTAGAGAAGCTGCGTCAGGATCCAGTCAGTGGCTCCTGGAGCCGACCCTCCCTGGCCTGGCTAGAGGGTGAGGGGTACGAGACATTGGGGGGTTATTTCGCCCCTTGGCGCCCCCTTGCCTGGCAGAGTTTATAGAATCTCCGTGGGGGGCGGGGCAGGGTGTCAACACAGACAGGCGACACCCCAACTCATGGTGCAGCTTTCCTTTGCGAACCCTTCTCCAGTCACCACATCTGCTTGGGCCGCCCACCCCCCTGGGGGAGGGAACTGGCCCCGTGGTTGCCTTCCACTTCCTGGCCAGGGTTTCCTCTCCTCCTGTTCTGAGAACACAAGGGGTGGGGGGACCCTCACCTAGCCCAGGCTTTCCAGATGCCAAGGGCCTCCTGGACGACTCAGAAATCTGGGGCTAGGAGAGTCCAAAGCAGCAGCAATGCTGGGTTAGCCCTTCGGGGCGGTCTTCAGGACTGCGGGCTCAAGGGCCGGGGAGGCTGCGTGGTTTGGTGCAATGGCGGGCGGGAGGCCTTGGCTTTTTCTCCTGCCCCAGAGCACTGCAGAGTCCACTAGACTCCACCCTGCTCTGCCTCAGGCCCTCTGCCAAGGCCGATCCCTCGGATTCAGGGTAGCCCTGAGTCTTCCCTTAACTCTAGCCCCTAATTGCTACTGCCCCAGATCTCAAGACCTCCTGCCCTCGCCCTTCCTGTGGCAGGCTGAAGGAGCTGCCTCCCACCCTAGGCCCTGGCCCAAAAATTTTTTTAATTCCTAATTGAGCACTGAAGATGTGCCAAGTATTATATTGGATGCTTCCTGTACGTTATCTTATTTAATCAGGCCCTGAAAGCCCTTTATAAATAGGAGGACGACCTCACTCTGACCCTACCCATCCTGCCACCCAAGTGGGGGCTCCAGGGGGCTCCCCCCTTACCCGTAAGGACAGGGTATCTTTGCATTGCAGGCTGATGCCACACTCATCGGTGATCTCTGAGAGGTCTTCATCCTCAAACTCCTCCAGGCTGATGTCGTGGGTGAGCCTGGTGGGACAGGAAGCCAAAGTTACAACCCAGGGGGATTGCTTGGCCCACTGATGTCACCTCTTCCAAAGGGCAGCCCCTTGAAGGCAGATCACAGTTCCTAGAGGATGAAACTTGGGGTCCACCAGTACCTACGCAAGGGATAACTAACAGGCAGGGAGAGAATTTTGGGTCCATGCCAAAGGACAGTCCTCCTAAGGTGACAGTGGAACAGGAGGCTCCAGGTTCCTCCAGTGCCACCAGCTGGGAGCTGTCCACCTTGCTGCCAACCAGGAGGCAGTGCCTAGAAGGCCAGCTGGTCAGAGCCTCAGCTCTGCCAGGGAAATGTCTCCCCTGGTCAAGGCAGGTGCCAAGGCTGCTTCACCCCTGGAGAATACAGAGTGGAGAAGAGACTCCAAGGGCTGCCTAGCTTGGGTGGGGTGAGGGGGCTGCCTGTGCAATTCCTGCAGCGAGGAGGAAGAAGGCTGGCAGCAGCCCCTCCCCGGCCTCCAGGGAGGGCTCCCAGTCCCCAAGTCCCACCCACCCAGAAATCCTCCTAAGTCCTGGAAGCAAGTGAAGAGAGAGCTGGTGTCCATGTGGGCAGTTTCAGCAGCTTCAAGCAGAGACTCGCCTCCCTCCCTTCCACGCTCTTGTCTCCTCTCTTCACCCGCAGAGCCTTGCCAGCATGTGCATCGGGGCAGGAGGCTGCACCTGGGGTCAGGGAAGGCCCCGGGCTGGGTGTGGAGGTGTCTGGAACTCTGGAGGGAGGCCAGCGCCTTTAGCGCAGAGCTCGGCGGGCTCTCCTGGAGCCCTGTCCCCCCAGGCCGGTCCTGGGCCCCAGCCCCGCATGCAGGGCTGTGCCAGTCACTGCGGTGCCTGACTGCCCCCTGCACCTGCTCGTCCCCAGCCCCGGGTGCTCGGCCGGGTTTGGTGTGGGTGGGCCATTTGGGAGAATTCTGTGGGAGAAGTTGGGGGGAATTCTGAGCCTTTCCCCAAATAAGACCAGGAGACTGAAGCCCAGAGTAAGACCCATTGGTTCAAGGTCACCCAGGAGAGGTGACCGCCCAGCCCCCAGGGAAACCAAGCAGGCCCACGCCCCTGGCTCGTCCCCTCCATCAGACCCAGCAGACACCCAAAGCTCAATGGCGCTGTCCCCTCCCAAGCTCCCCCCGGCCCCACCAGCCCCCACAGCCCTACCCACCAGCGCTCCCACTGATCCTCCAACCAGCTGTCATTGTCTGGGCTTGAATCCATCTTCAGCACCAGCTGCATGGAGAGCCCTGCCCGGCTGGGGGGCTGCTGGGCCCCAGGGCCGCCCTCTCATGCCCAGAAGAGTGGGGGGGCCAGGGCTCAGGGCAGGGCTGAGGCCTCTGGCCTGCACCTCCTGGGCCTGCCTTTCTGCGTCCTGCCCGCTGCAGGAGCCCGGGCAGCTCATTAAAAATAGATGGTCCAGGAATGGAGGCTGCGACTGCCGACCCAGGCCCCAGCCTCGGCTCCTGCCGGCCCAGCCCTGAGCTGCAGGCAGCTTCCTCCCCCAGCCCGCTCGGCTGCCGCTGCCGCTGTCAGTGCCGCCTCCCACGCGGAATCAGGTTACAGCAATCGATGCCTTGCTCCACCTGCCCTTCCAATGCCCCTGTCGGGGGCCAGGGTGGTCCCTCTCCCCGCCCAGGCTTGTAAACAGATGGCAGAAATCTGGGGTGTTTCCCCCCCCCAAAAGCCAGCCCCTGATCTGCTTTAAAGGGCCAGCAGCATACTCAGGGTGCCTGGTGGCAAGATGTGGGGGGCTTGGGAAATCCTCCACGAAAGGATGCCCCACCTGCACGGCTCCCAGCGGGACCCTGACCCTACATCAGGGGGCCTGGACGGCGCAGGCAGTGCTGCCTTGGTCAGTCTGGCCGCCCCTATCACCTGTCTGGGTGCAGGACAGGACCCTGCCCCTCCCTGGGCTCCATCCTTCAAGACTAGGAAGAGCCTGTGGGTGCAGGAGGTGGCACAGTCCAGCCAAGGGCAGTCCAGTGGGTGGACCCCTCGGGCAGGGCAGGAGGGACAGCCTGGGGGGTGCGAAGCTGCAGACCCCAGCGGGAACTGAAAGAGGGGTTCTGGCCAGGGCAAGGGGCAGGGGAATGAGGTGCTCCTTAGCAGCTCGAGAGGGAGGCGAGGTACCTTTAGGTTTCCAGGGCCGGCGGAGGGTGTAGTGCGGCAGTGGGGGTAGGCTGGGAGGAGGGCAGAGCCCTGATGCCAGAGCAGCCTGCCCAGTCTGGCTAATGTAAGTAGCATCTCCGGTGCTGAGACAACCCCGAGGCTGGCACAGGGTATATGGTCAAGGCACATGCTGCCTGGACAGTCACAGACCAGGCAGTCTGGAGACGCAGCCAGCACTGGGGAGGCCCAGAGGTGCCCGAAGACACCCCCTGCTCTGTTGGTGACCCCCGGGCACATCTGAGACTCCTCTTCCCCACTGCCCAGCCCTGATCCAGCTCCTGTGGTCCTACACCTCCCCCTGGCCTGCTCGCCTCGGTCTCCCCATGCCTGTGTCACTCTACCCACTACCATTACCAGGCAAAGCTGCCCAAAATACCACTATTCCTTTTGCCTCCCCACCTCAAATCCCCCCAAGTTTCTCTGCTAGCAGCCACCTCCTTGGCCTGGCATTCAAGTTCCCCAGTGCCATGTGTGACCCTCCCTCTGTACCTGCCTCCCCAGGCATGGAGGCTTCCCTTGGACGGAGCACTTGTCAGGCTCTCAACCCATGCTGACGCCCTCTCCTCCAGGAAGTCCTCCTGGCAACACCCACTGGTCCTGTCATCCCCTCGCTTGGGGTTGGTGTCACCATCTGTGCAGCTAGAAAGCGGTTCGCTAGGGCAGGCAGGCCCAGGCCTCTGTCAGACACCCCCAGGCTGCTCCAAAGGCGGGTGGAGCTTGCAGCCCCTAGCCGCTCCCAGTGAGTGATGGTTACAGACCCCTCCCTTCCAGGTGGTCTTGCAGCAGGGGCACTGCGTGCCGCATGCGAGATGCTACCCAAAGAGAGAAGCTTGAGCTTCCACCTACTCCCTGGAAAACAGCTGTTGGGGGCAGGCCTGGAGCATCTGGCTGGAGCTGTGCTGGGGGCACCTCAGCATCCCCTGATGTTCCCACTGGGTCAGCAGCTCCGGGGCACGGGTGGGCGAGGAACAGCTGTGTCACTCTTCACAGATGCAGAAACTGAGGTTCGCTGGGCAGTGGTGGAAAGAGCCTGGGCTGGGAGGGGGTCCGAGGCCTGCACTTGATCCCCAGCTCCAACCGGTGGGTTAAGGAATCTCCCTGTCTTACTTCACGGGTGTCTCGAAAGTGCGGCAGGACGGAGAACGGGCACCCGATGAGCCCAGAGGCAGCAGGCCTGAGAACAAATACCGACACCCTCGCCTGGGGAGTGGCCGCTCCCTCCCGAGCTGCTGGGCCCTGGCCACCGACTGCCTCACGTCTCCACGCATCTCCCCTAGTCCTCACCTCCACCCAGGGAGAGGGTTTCCTTTTGCCCCTTCTACAGATGGGGAACACTAAGGCTCGGAGACAAGGCACCGCAGGGCCTCGCATATTAAATGGGGCCACCCTTCCTTGCCCACCCTCCTCAAGGCTGCTGGCTGTGGACCGCGGTGCGGTGCGGAGGCCACCACCAAGGGCCAGTGGGATGGGCTGGCCACGGAGTCCCTCGGCGAGTCACTCCGGACCCTGCCTTGCTTCCTCCCTCCACACCCTGGCTCCTGGCCTCCCAGCCAAAGCCCAGGCCACCCGCCCTGGAGAGAGGCTAGATGGGCTCTGCGGGCCTCCAGGTTCAGGGAAGGGGCGTGAGGAAGGAGGCGGGAGGGAAGTGATGGCCGCAGGAGGGTGGAGAGGGAGGAAGGAAGCCGAGCGCCTGGAACCACCTCAAACTGAAAGGCAACCTGCCACAGCGGCACCCCTGGAGGCCTGGAGGCCGAGCAGCGCCCCTTCAGAAGCCAATCGGATGCACTCCCCAACGGTGAGGTGGCTCCTGAGGTCGCATCCACAGGTCGTTGGACACTCTGGCGTTTGGTCTCTCCAGAACCCCTGGCCTTTGGGGTGCGGAGATCTTTGGGGTCGGTCTATAGACGAGCTTCCTCTCCCTGCACTACCTCCTCTTCTTCAGGGGCCCAGTGGACTCCCCAGTGTCTCTGCAAGTGCCAACTTCCAGGCCCCCACCTGCCCTGGGCTCCTACAAAAACAAACATGCCTCTGGCCTCCTGATGTTTATCTCCGGGCCTTCCCCAGTCACAGCTCCCCATTTTCTCCTTCCCCCTCCAGCAATCCTTTCTCATTGGCTGCTTCGGCCCAGTGGTAGGAGGTTAGAAGTGCACGCAGCAGACTTCCCCAGTCTCGCCCGCTGCTCCCCTCAGCAGTGTATTTCAGGCCACCTGCCTGCTCTGCTTCCCACTCTGTCTCTGGTGAATCCTCTCACCCCCCCCCCGCCCCGCACCTCTGGCCTGCACCCCAGTTCTTGTATGCATAAAAAAAAATCTTAAAAAAAAGTGAATGCAGGGCCTCCCCGGTGGCGCAGCGGTTGAGCGCTGGGTTGCGAAGCTGCCCGCAGCCTCTGCGGTGCCGGTTCGATCCCCGGCTGCTCCCCGGCCACTGGAGGAGGGTCCCACATGGCACGCAGACCTCTCCTGCCGCCCGCTGCTCCCCTCAGCAGTGTACTTCGGTTCTTCTGCCTGCTCTGCTCCCCGCTCTGGCTCTGGTGAATTCTCTCACCCTCCCGCGCTTCTGACTGTACCCAGTGCATGTATAAATAAATAAATAAATCTTAAAAAAAAAAAAGTGAATGCAAAGGAAGGCTTAAATGGTGAAGCGTGGAGGTTTTAGCTGAGCAAGGCCAACTCTGCGCCAGGCGTATGCTGTCCCAGGGCCATTCTTGAATCTTTCCATTCCTGCCTGTGCTGAGGGAGGTTGGGATGCCAGCGGAGTGACCTTGGGTCCTGATCATGCTGCCCCCTGAGGCCCTCTGGCAACAGAGCACCTGTGGTTTCAGGGTCCAGCCTGTCTCTGCCACGCTCTGTGTGCCGAGCAAAGAGCTGGCTCCCTACTTCCGCTCTGGATCCCGCTACAAGCCATTTTCCACTGGGCAACCCAGACCAATGTTTGCGATGCAAATCTGATCTTTCCAGCTTCCACAGCTCAAAATCCATGAATAGCTTCCCCTGGCCCTCAGGGAAAGGAACCAACCCTCTCACCTGTGGCCTGCAGGCTCAGCAGGCCCTCCCCTTCTCCCCAGCCCCTGCTTCCTGCTCACTGCCTTCCCCAGCAGCAGTCTCACCTCTGCAAAGCCTTCACCCATCTCCCCAGCCAGGCCAAACACCCCAGCTATTGGCTCTCTTAGTCCTTCTGCTGGGTAGTTCCCAGATCACTGATTTTACCCTTGGTTCTGGGACCAGTGTGGGCTCCCCTCAGAGGCAGCTGGTCCACCAGGGTGGCATCAAGTCTTTCAACCAACATGTGGATGCTAACAGTAACTTAATAAACGGTACTGAACGAACGAACCACCAGTGTCCCCAGATATTTCTAGATTTCCCCTTGGAAATCTTGAAGTCAGTTCCCCTTTCAAGTCAACTTCCTGGCACCCATCTGTATCAGTCTGGGGTAGAGTGTGGAGGCCTCTGGGAAGGTGGTGCTGGCTGAAACGGGGGGGGGGGGGCGGGGGTGAAGCCCCAGCTTCATTCCTCAGAACCCTCTCTCTGGCCCACTCCCAGTTCCAGGTGGGACAGTTCCAGCCAGTCCCAGGACTAAGGTCAAGTTGGGTTTGTTCTTCTGGTCTGGAATTCTCTTCCCAGCCATGTCCACACTGGGGTGATCTCCAGGGAAAAACTATCCAACCCAAGAAGCAATTTCCCGGGGACCACCCTACCTGGGGTGATAATGTGTCTGAATTTTTTAATGCCTTGGTGCTAATCTGCAGCAAATGGACCTTGGGAGCCAGCGGTTGAGCTGCGGGAAACTCCCCAGAGGAAAGAGTTCCATGTGTGGGAAAACCTTTACACAAGGATGTGTGGGAAAAACCTTTACACACAAGCGTGTGTTCTACTCATAAAAGCAAACAACTCAAAGACAACCAAAGGGCCAGTCTCAGGGGGAGGGTTAGAATGCAGGTGTCCAGCGGCCGGGGTGGCCTGCAGTCTTGTGGGCGAGCACTGTGAAGCCTCAGTATTCATGTGGAAAACGACAACCCATATAATGAGCAAAAAGGCAGAACGCGTGAGCTCGTGGCGTCACACGGTGAATCCTGACATGGACTAGGTGTGGGAGGTGGTGGCATGGGGAGGGCCTTCTACCCTGCTCTCCAGGACAGATTTTGTATACCGGGTCATGAGCTCAGCCCCCTCACAGAGCTACTTCCTGAGGGTATGACTCTTTACACTTGTTCTAATCTATGCACAGATCCTGAATGTTGTTGGTGCTAAATAAAAGCCCATTAGAAGCACCGGCTGAAAGAGGCACTGGAAGCTCCCCGAGAGGACCACCGGCATCACCAGGGCCAGAACCAGTCCAGGGCTCTCCCTTTACAGGGGTGGCTCTGAAATTAGACTGGGTTTGAGCCCCAGCTCTGCCACTCCCCAAGCTCTTTCTGCCTCAGTTGCTTCATCTGCAATGCAGGGAGAACATGAGCCTCTCGCTATGGTTTGGGCGCACCGAGTGCTCCTGCGGGGAGTGCTCAGAGCAGCGCCTGCTTGTTTCCTCTGGCCATACTCACAGGGCTCTGTGACCCAGGAGGTCGGCACCCAACACCACCCTCCAATAACAAGCCAGTAAGGCATCAGAGAGCACCTACTTTGTGCGGGGCATCAGGGACAGCAAAATTTAGGTATTGACTCCTTGTGCCTTCTGGGAGCTGGCAGTGGTACTCCTCTGTTCCCCCAACATCACACCATCCTAACAACAATAAAACCAGCCCTGGGCCTCCCCGGTGGCACAGTGGGTTGAGCGCAGCGCTGTGAAGCTGTCCGCAGCCTCTGAAGCGCAGGTTCGATTCCCGGCAGGCCAGGGAGATTCCCACATGGCGCAGCAGACCTCTCCTGATGCGCCCGCTGCTCCCCTCAGCAGTGCTCTCAGTCCATCTGCCTATTCTGCTCCCCATTCTGTCTCTGGTGAATCTTCTCACCCTCCTGCGCCTCTGGCCTGTACCCCAGCTATTACAGAAATAAAAAATAAATCTTTAAAAATTAAAAACAAAACCAGCCCTGCATGAATGCAGCTCTTGACAGCCCTTGAAACACTCAACTGTATGGCCTCATTGGAGTCTCACGACAGCCCTAGACAGGGGGCACGCCAGCAGCGCGGGGCAGTGACAGGCTCTGGGAGCTAAGTGCGCAGTCTTGGGGCACACAGCTAAGAAGGCCCAGCCAGGATGCAAACCGAGGTCAGTTGGCCCCCCGAGAGCCACAAGAGAGCAGTAACCACCGGGGGTTAAACTGAGGCCGGACAAGGAAAGGGCAGCAGGCACTGCTGGGGTAGGAGGGGCAGTTCAGGCCATGTGGGGCCCAAGACACTGTCCCTCATTATTCCCAGAGTTGGCCTTGTCACCACATGGTGTCCTGGAGGGCCAGCCCACGCTTGGTGTACTGCCACGCTCGCCCACCTGGACGCACTCACTGGCTGGTGTCCACGTCTTAACTCCTCACTACAGCGCCCATGACATGCTGTGTGCCAAGGGGGTGAGTAGGACAGAGAACATGCTTCCTGGGACCAGGAAAGTGGGGGGCGGGGGGCGGGCGGAGGCGAAACTGACCTCTCGCCAGAGGCCCAGCCTGGAGGTAAAGGATTTAACACGACTGGGTTCCAGTCAAGCCTTGGTCTCTGACTTCCTTGGAGTCTTCAGGGGAGCCAACCTGCCTCCCTGAATCTCAGTCTCCTCACCCAGAAAATGGGCAGAGCAATACCCTCTCCCAGGGTGGTTATGAGGCCTGCACTGGGAAAACGCTCTGACCAGTAACCAGCTGCAAAAATGCCCACTCGCATGGAGGGCTGACACACTTGTTGCGTGCCACCTTGATGGGCATAATCTCATTTTCAGGCAGGAATCAATATTAATTAGTTCATTTAACAGACGCGACTCAGGACAAAAACCCAGCCAGGTGGTGCAGCTAGAAAGGGGTGGAGTCTAATTTGAACCCAGGTGTCTGGGGCAGGGGGCCTCATGGGAGGGAGGCTGCGCATGTCATGCCCAGTGAGGAGCTCGGTGTCCAGGTCCTGCAGGCGGTTGGAGGCGCTAATCACTAAGGCCCTGGGCTTCCAGCCTCAGGCTTGGCCTCCTCCAACTGGCCCCCTCCTCTGGTCCTCCTGGCTCAGAGCAGGGCCTCTGGGGAGGTTTCTGGTCCTTATGATGCCATTAGACATCCCCAGGGTCCCGGCCCACCTGAGGGCCAGGGAGCCAGCAACCCCTTGGCCAGAGGGGCTGGCGGCAGAGCCCAGCTGGGGCCTGCTGGGCCGGGGGCCCCGGGAGAGGGGAGGGCCCCGGCTCAAGGGAGGGAAACAATGGGGTATGCCCAGGCCTCCTTCTCTTGGGCTCAGGAGCAACCAACCCCTCCTCTTTCTTCTCCCCAACTGAGGAGAGGATTGTGGGGGAAGGAAATCCTTCTCCCACCCCAACCCCTCCAGCATCCACTGTCCATGTCTTTGAAACCCACTTGCCACCTGCCACCCACCAGACGGGGCAGGGCGCGGGGCGATGGGGGAGCTGGGCCAGGGTCCTGCGCCCCTGCCCTGGCAGGAGCACCCGCTGCCACCGTCCCTGGCGCCGGAACCTAAGCCCCCTCCCACCCCCAGGCCTAGGATTTCCCACTTGAGGCTGCACCTTCTGCACCAGCGCACACCTGACCAGGTCAGTGCTTGGCCAGGTCCTGGCCATGCCCGGTGCGCGAGGGGGTCGGAGCAGGGGGGAGGCGGAATCAGGCCGGGCCGAAGGAGGGGCTCGGACTCCCCGCCAGCTCCAGGCGGCGGCTGCCCCAAGGACTGGGCCCTTCAGGGCCCCCCAGCCTGTTCCCATCTCTACTCCGGCCTCGCGCTGGGCACTGGCAAAGCCCAGCCGCGGCCTCCTCCGGGGTCTCAGCCCAGGTCCCGGGCCCCACCACAGCCCCAAAGTGGGGGAGAAGGCGCTGGAGCCCCCCACCCCCCGCCCATCCCAGCTCAGGTTCCCCAGCCCGGGGCGCGGAATGGGGGGGCCGGCTGCACCCCGAGATGCCGCGGCTCCCGGAGCGGACTCGAGGCCGAGGGGCCCCGGGGACTCTGCGGGGAGAGCCCCCCAGCCCCGCCGCCTCTCGCGACCCCGCCAGGCGCGCGCGGAGCGCGGGGGGGGAGCCCGGGGGCCCCGTCCCGGCCGCAGGGTGGGGCGCTCGGCCGGGGAGTCTCACCTGAAATTGGGCGGCGACGCGATGTGCAGCCCCAGAAACGGGGAGGCGGCGGGCGGGGACGCGGCCCCCCCGCCCAGGCCGCCGCTCTCTCGCTCCGCCATTCCCGGGCGCAGCCCTGGCCATCCGGGCGGAGGCGGCGCGGGCGGCGGGAGGGGGCGGGGGCGCGGCGAGGGGCCGCGGCGGAGCGGGGCGCGGGCGGGCGGGGCGGCGCGGCGGGCGCACCTGCGCAGGGCCGGGCGCGCGGCGGGACTGGCGAGAGCGCCCCGCGCGCCCCCGGCCCGCTCGGGGTCCCGCGCGCCCCGCCCCGCCCCGCCCCGCCGGCCCCGCCCCGCCCCGCCGGCCCCGCCCCGCCCCGCCGGCCCCGCCCCGCCGGCCCCGCCCCGGCTCTCTCCGCGGTGCTGAAGCCGAGGCCCGGGTGGCGACCGGCCCCGCCCTACACCCCACAGGGCCGTCTCCGCCCCTCCCCCTCCGCTGTCCCCCCCCTCCTCACGCCCCCCCACGCCCCCCTCCCTGCCCGCGCGGGCGCGGCCCCGCCGAGGGGGCTCAGCGCGGGCCGTCAGCTCTCCGGTGGCGGGACCCCGGTCCCCAGGGCCCTGGTGGGCCCCCCACCCCGTCCCGGAGGACAAAGAAACAAGCAGACAGGAAAGAAGGTGCTGGAGGAAGGCGGGGGAGGCTGGAGGGTGGGGGAGCGGGTCCCGGGGCTGCCCCGTGGAGTCGGGTGTTGGGGAGGCACAGTCTGGCTCCACGAGCAAATAGGAGCTGTGGCCCTGCTCAGTGACCCCGCAGGCCTAAGGTTTGGGTTCCCAGGCTGAAGTGGGGGTGCTACGGCCTCTCTCCCGTGGCTGTGCAGATGAGTAGTCACTGGGAGCCAGGAACACGCGGCCTCCTGCTGGGAGGCCTCACCCGCCCAGTCCCCTAACCTTAAGGGGACCCGCCCAAGATTCCAGAGGGTCTCCTGGGGACTGACCCAGCCCCACCTCAGCCCCAGCTACTGAAGATGACCTGAGCTCTCCGCCTTGGTTTGTCTCTCAGGCCCTCCCTCGTGTCAGGACTTCCCGGGATTTCTTCCTTTCCTCCCTTTGGCACCGCAGTCAGACACCCCATGGCGGGCTTGGGGCTTATCTCTTGCTCCTGCAGTTGACTTCATGGGGTTCCCATACCCACCGCCAGTTGGGCCCTGGTTCCTTCCTGGCCTTCTGCCCCTCCGATGTTTTAAGCCTGGGCCTCCATGCCTGTAGAGCCCTGGTCCCCCCGGTTGAGTCCTTTCACAGTGTGGGGGGCTGGCCACGGCTAGGCGCCCAGTTTCAGTGGGTCCTAGAGCCTCGGGCCAAGCCTCAGTGACCTTCTCTGGCCACTTCAGAGAACTGCGGAGATTCTGGTCTTCACCTCTCTCTGAAGGAAAGGCAGAGAAGTTTCACGTGTGATGTCCTGTGTGCAGAGCCAGACGCCCACTCTCACGCTGCTCCCTTTTCCTTCACAGAGCGCCCAGCGAGCAGCTACAGGCCTGCCCTGCAGCAAGCAACCCCCCAGGCCCAGCCCAGTACTTAGAACACCCCAATACCTAGAGCCAAAGGCCTTGGTGGCCTCTCTCCTCCCTGCCCCTGGGCTCAGAGGCCAGGGGCCACTTGCCCTTCCGTTGCTGTCTTGGCTGGGGCTCCCTTCACTAGACCCCGTTGCCACCCGCCGCTCTGGGTCACTGTTCCCGCCTGGAAGGCCATCTTGCCGTGGTGGTTAACATTGTTCCTTAGAGTGTGTGCTTATCTCAGCTAGGCGCATCCTCAGGCCAGGAGTGTGTGTGTGTCAGTGTGTGTGTGTTTTCTAGCACCCTTTGCTTGAGAACAAAAGGCATTTCTGAGCCCCGTCACACCAGAGAGAAGTCAGAGGGAGAGAGGGGGAGGCCCGGCTCTTGCAGGGAAGAGGAGAGGAAGGCCAGGGTGTCTCTTCTCTTCCTCTGCAGGACGGCTCATTCCTGGGCCTGGCCTGAGCTCCTCACACAGGAGGTTGGGGTGGGTGTGGGCTAACAAGGCTTCCGTTGCCCAAGCCCACAACCCACCCCAGAAAAGTCCATGCACACTGCCGGGGTCGCCGCCCAAGACCCTGGGCTTGGTTGTGGGCAGATCTTGGCTGCCCACAGCACCCCCTTGGCATCCACACAGCTGCAGCTAAGGGGGTTCATTTGAGATCAAGGACGGACTGAGGGCATGGACAGGGTGCTGCCGCTGACCGATGGCGCCTGGGCTGAGAGGTGCTGGGGTGCCTTACCCTGGGCCGAGTGCTCGGTTATTCTGGCTGTACAAGCCCAGCAACCCCGCAGCTGCTCCAGTCACTCACCTGGGAGCTGCCCCCTTCCCCACCACCTCCAAAGATGAGTGAGCCAGAGGCTTCTGGTCCAGCCGAAGCCAAGAGTCAGGCCTAAGATTCTAACCCAGGCTCAGCTGTGTTGACACTGGGCCCCAGACCTCCCACAAAATGAGGCCAACACAGCTTTGCTCAGAAAGATCAGACATTTATGAGACAAGTGAGCACAAACGCGGTGGGGGAAACACACCTTCTCAGTAACAGAAAATCGCTCTATAAAGTGCATTTTGCCCACGACCATCTCTTCCCCATGCTGGGCCCTGGGCCAGGGCTTGGGCAAAGCTCTGCAGCAGCCCCCAGGACACCCGGGCCAGGAGACGGTGCACGAAACCACTGTGGAGCTCCAGGCCCCTGGTGTGCCCTCCTCACCCCCCCCCCACCCTTTCAGCAGGGACTGGGCCGGTATGTCACGGGTGGTGGAGAAGCTGGGGGAGATGCCGCCCAGGCTGCACCTCAGGGGAGAGCCCTCACCAACGGGCAGGGAGAGGGCACCAGCCCGGATTCGCAGGTGCTGCTGGCGACACATCGACTCTGGCCCTGTGCTCCAGGCTTCGCAGTTCCTCAGACCAGCTCTTCCAGGCTGGCTCCCCTTGTGTGCACAGCCCCGACGCGCCTCCCTGCTGATGGGGGTTAAAGGGGCTGGGAAGCCCTGCCCCGATGCCGCGAGCACACACCGTCACCTGTGCCCTATCATCCCCCCGCCCCCCCTCCCCCCGTGACCGAGGGCGTCTCCGGTGAGAGTCCATGTACACAGCTGGACTCGAACATTAGGCGGCTCCAGGCCGTGGGACCCCGCGGGCATCTCAGGAAGAAGCCTGTCCATGTGCTGGGCAGCCTAGGAGACGGGGTCTGCCCCGGGGCCCTGGTGCCAGGACAAAGGGCAGCTGGGACAGGGCTGGGGCGAAGGGAGTCAACAGCTGTGGGGCTAGGAGAGATCACAGGGGAGGTAGAGAGGAAGAGGCCCGAAGGCCAGCTCGTGGTACATGTGAGGACGCAATTCTAAGAGGAGTTAGTCTCTCAGCTACACGTGCACCTGTACACACACACACACACACACGCACGCACGCACACTTTGTGGCTCAAGTGCAGGCCACAGGGTGGAAGGAAGACTTGCCTGCTGATCACACAGCTCTTATGCTCGTTATGTCTTTCTCAACACAGGCCTTCGACTGTGGGCGGGAGAGGCGGGAGGCATAGGTCACGCCTGGAATGCAAGGCCTCCTGTGTTTGCATTCCTTGGCTTCTCTGGGGCAAACCTCCCACCTGCTGCTTCTGGAAACACTGGTGTGCTGGGACCTTCCCCAAGTGTCCCTGGCAGTGTCCATCTGAGTCCACTTGCCACTGGGAGAGTAACATGGCTTGCACTAAACAGTCCAGGGCTGGTCCTGGAAGCCTCCAGAACATGGACTAGAATGGTTCCCGTGGTTGGGTGTCAGCTGCCCTAGAGTGTGGCCAAGAGGGCCCGGGGTGAAACCACCAAGAACTTGCCCCCTCCGCACCCCCAGTCAGCTCTGATGCTGGCTCACAGCTTCTGGGGAAGGGAGAGTGGGGGCTGGGATTCTATTCCTGACCTTAGGTTTTCAGTCCCCAAAGGAGGACATGCCGCCTGGGCTGTCAGCTTAGCACCGTACACACAACATGCCAATAGGTACCTGGGTATTTTGTAGGGTGGTGGAAACCTTGTGCTCAGCCCCAGACACCCGAGGAAGGAGCTGGCGGAACCGGTGGCAGGGAACTTTAAGAAAGAAGCCAGGCCAGGTGACTGTGTCTGGACAGCGTCGTCCACTCCGGCCTGCCTAGTCTCAGGGTCGTAAGGGGGAACTCAGCAGGGCTCTGCCTGCCTCTAGAATCTCACGTTCCAGACGAGAGTCCAAAATGGCGCCTCCCTGCTCCTCAGTCTGATGTAAGGAGGGAAGGAAGAGATGTTGGGAGGGAGGGGAAGATGCCAGAACCCCAGGAGGATCCTACCATTCCTGAGGTGGCCAGGCAGCTGGCTTGCAGGGACAGGTGGAGCTGGAAGGCACCGCCATAACCTCCAGTCTGGTGTCTGGAGGAGGAGGGGAAGGTGCTGCAGGCGCTCCTCCAGCCCTGGTGGCGTCCGGAGTCACAGTGTAAACAGAAGCACGCACACGAGGTCAGGCCCTGCACTCCCGCACACGCGCACACAGGTCTGCTTGCTCTGTCAGGATCAGCTTTTCGGCAGGTTGCACTCTGCGGCATGGCTGCTGCTTGGGTGTGCCAGCTTTGCTCACGGAGCCATGGTGCTGCAGCTGGAAGAGAAAAACAAGGGAGATGAGGAACATTCAGGAAGGATGCCGATGCCCAGGACGCCAGCTGTGAGTTCAAGACCCTCAGGGTTTAAGATCGGTCTTCTGGGACGTGCAGGTCTTCTAAGACAAATGTCAAATCCAAAGATTTTATCTGGATGATGCCACTGGGTAAATTAAAGATCAAACCTAGGCACAGGTGCCTGTGTGGGCCGGCAATGAACACCTGTACTTTAAAACGTGTTCTTTTCAGTGATTTTTCCTGTTAGGCCTGTATCATCAAAACCTAGCTTTTTTTTTTCCTCTCACTACAAATAATCTGTCTCTAAAGTATATGTATGTTTTACTGAAACACACTGACTGTGATATATGTATTTTAGACACAGGTGGTTCTCTCGACCCAATTGTTACGCCAAAGAGATGACTTCTCCTCCGAAAGCAAAGCTCAAGCTTGGAGAGCATCCCCGAGAGGTCCTCTCACCCGATCCCGCTGTTGTTTCCTTTCTCCGCTTCTCAGGGATGGGAAGGGACAGAGGGCTTGCAAATGCCTTAGGACCGGGCTCTTAATCCAGGTCCTAGACATGGGCCAAGCATGGGCTTAAGGAGCTGTTCACGCACACCCTGAGTTTCTGTGCACACCTGTGTGTGTTTGAACAGATACAGTGTTCTGGGGAGAGGCTCTGCCCTTTATCAGACTCTCCAAAGTATGGGTCACCCAAGGAGGGCCAAAGGGTCAAGAAGACAAGGGGGTGAGGCCCAGGCTATACAATCCAGACCCGTGTTGATTTGGGCACAATTCAGCTGAGGGACAGGCTCATGATGGGAGGTGGCAGCTAAGCCTCAGCTAAGCCCCAGTGACCCGAGTCCTATGATGGGGACACATTCCCCCCCACCCACCCAAGGTTTGGCAGAACCAGTCTGTGCTTCTCTACAGATGCAGCCAAAGGCCCATTCGCTGAGTTACTCAAGCTGCTGACCAGCAGATAGTGGGATGGTCTTGTTCTCGAGCTAGGGCGTCAGTCTGCAGAAAAAGGGGCCCGGGGAGATCAAATGAGGTTGTGCAGGAAAACAATGACAGCAGCATGAAAGGAAAGGGAGGCACAGCCAGGGGAGCAGCACCAAGGGGAAAATCAAGTCATAAAACATGCACCGACAGATCAGTCTCTCGGTTGTCTAACTCCTTCAACCTGTCACTAATACCAGGAACACAGAAGCAGCTGAAACAAAAAGTAAGTTCATGGCTGTTGCCCGCGGTGTGCCCAGTGTTAGGATGGCCTCCCGGGTACCTGTCTTCACACCCCTGCCTATCAATTAGCGGCTGACAAGACACCCAGGTCGTGAGTCCACGCCCTCCCGACGCTGCCCCGGGGGAGAACGGGTAATGTGCACATGTGAGCTGTGTCAACACAAGGTACCCGGCGCTGAAGGTCTGAGGGACTCTGGAGCTGTAACCAACCAAGTCTCAGATGTGCCCTCTTTCCGCCACAGTGCCCCAGAGCCTGAGAGGGGCACCAGGCTCCAGGTTGGCAGCAGTGCAGCTGGGTCTGCTGAGCTCTGAGCTCGGCCTCATGCCTACCCCTCCTGCATCCAACAAATCAACAGCTACTCAGCAAGTGCCAGGGAAAGTGCGAGGGGACAGAGTCCCAACTTCTCCTTTTCAGGCCAGGAAGAACCAGAGAGGTGAGGCAACTGGGGTCTCAGTCTCCCAGCAGCGAGGGGCAGGCCTGGGATACAGACACTGGCATGAGTGTGACGCTGGCTCTTCCTCTGAACCCCACACGCCCCGCACAGCATCCAACAGACTGCCGTGCCTCGTGTGCGCTCAGCCTCACGCAAGGTGGGCACTACACAAGGGTCAAGAAGACAAAGGGGCTGCAGAGAAGTGGATTTTCCACGTGAGGCCCTGTGGCTCACGGAGCTCTGGTGAACTGCAGGCGGGGGAAGGAGGGGTCCTTGGCCGCGAACCTTTGTATTCACTGGCCCGTCTCTCAAAGATCCCTGAGCACCGACAGAAGGGAATGGAACAGGGAAGCTGTCTCCCCAATGGTAAAATAATTGGACCAATGAGAAAATTCTGTATATGGCTCAAGGCTAGCGGAACCCAGAGCAGTCAGCAGCTTTGGGGATTATGGAGAAGCAGGTGAAACAATAGTTTTTTGGGGGTAGCTTGTTTTTCAGTTTAGGGAACACTGTACAATAAAACCAAGGACAGAACAGACACTGCTTTAGGTTGAAGCAAGCATGGAACCTTCTGGCATGAGGGAGTGCTTCCGCACAAGAGCAGTTTAAACTGTAAATGATCACCTGCCCCGGCAGCGCCACAGACCTGGCACTAGAAATAACAGAACTACAAACTACAGCGCTCACAGGTAAAGGGGGGGCCTCAGAAGGTCCAGGATGGAGCCTTCCGGCTGGCAAAGATTCACGCTTAGGGGGCCTCCCCGGTGGCGCAGTGGTTGAGCGCTGGGTTGCAAAGATGCCCGTAGCCTCTGCAGCGCCGGTTCGATCCCCGGCTGCCGGGCGAGGGTCCCACATGGCGCCAGACCTCTCCTGCCGCCCGCTGCTCCCCTCAGCAGTATATTTCATCAGTCTGGCTTTTCTGTACCCTGCTCTGGCTCTGGTGAATTCTCTCACCCTCCCGCGCTTCTGACTGTACCCAGTGCTTGTATTAAAAAAAAAAAAAAAAAAAAAAAAGATTCACGCTTAGGGCTGAAGCGTCTCAGGAAGGTTACGTGCCCCGCCCCATGTCACACCACTAAAATCAGCGGAGGGGAGGGCCAGGGGCACGGCCCCACCCTGTGGTCCTTTGAGCCCAGGGTACTGGTTTCAACTCACCATTAGTGTGATTTTATCTGCCTGGGTCATTTTACTTAGTCAGGCTTTTCACGCATGGTTTGTCGTTTTCTTTCCCTGGCATGTACACTGGGCGGGTCGGGCAGGTGGCGAGTCGCAGTCCCCGCTGTTTCACAGATGAGGCGGCTGAAAGCGCCCAGGTGGCACCACCAGTGCAGTGAGCCAAGTGGCTCTTCTGTCTCAGGGCCTCTACCAAGCACAGGGTGGGGGAGAGGGGTGGGGGCTGTTCCCCACCTTGCCTCAGGAGGTCTCACCCACCTAAGCCCTATGGCCGCCCATGCAGGCAGGCGGCCAGAGTGAGCTGCCCATTCGGTGAGACTAAGGGCAGAGGAAGCCCTGAAGAGCAGTCCTCATGATCCCAACAGGCAGCCACACTCTCCTGCCTGCAAGATAAGAGACAGGTGCTGCCCTTGGGGCCCCTTCTGTCTTCACCTGGAACCACTGCTCCAGCCTATCAGCTAGGTCCCCCACACCCCCCCTTTTCCTTGGCTGGTCCCAGCCTAATGCCTGGTCAATCTTCCAGAAATGCCGGGGTGATCATTTCACATTCCCATTCAAAATGCTTTCAACCCTTGGGGTACACCAGGGGGTACACTTCTCTGCCTCACATTTAAGACCTGCCAGACAGGGTCAGACCCAGCCGTAATAGTCTTCAAAACAATGACGATAACAACGCCCGTAATGATAATTAGAGCTGCCATTTCTTGGGTACCATGAACTCATAAGCCAGCACCGGGCTAATAAGCGCTTTGCATATTACACAGCCCCTGTGAGCCAGACACCAGCAGCCATGCTTCCTGCTAAGAGAATCTAGATTTTGTTAAGAGAGTCATGGGCCTGGTCCAGACAATGGATCACAACTGGTCTGAGTCAGTGATTCTCCAAGTATCTTCTTCTAGGTGATTCTATTGCTCATTCAAGTTGGAAAACCAACAGTCTACAACAACGCTGTCATCAGGATGCCTACTTCCCACCTGGGGGTGGCTTTGAGACTCAGTTTCAGCTCACAGGACCAACATTAAAAGCAGGGGGAGGGGACAGCTTCTATTTCTTCATAAAAGGAGAGTGGCAACCCCTAACAGCCTGAATAGTATAAAACTGCAACCCCCCTACTGTGTCCCAACTTTTACTTTCTATCCTCTACCCAACCTCTATTATCTTTTCTTTGTATACTTAAGGCCTCATGACATATATTTGTTTACTGCCTCCTCCCACAAACACGTACTGAAGGGGGAAGGGACTGTCAGTCTTGTTCACAAGCACATCACAATGCCTAGAATAGTGTGTGGCAAATCTGAGCACTTGATGTTTATGGAAACCCACAAGCAGCTAGCTGTCTCTCTCATGCCTTCTCTTTCCTACTCTGAATGAGGAACTGGTGGCTGGCAGCCATCTTGAGATCACGAAGCAAGAGAATGTCAGACCAACTGGCTCTGATGTTGCTGAGCCACTGACCCAAGACCAGCCACGCCCAGTTCTGGGTCCTTAATTTTAGCCTCAGTCGTCAGGTTTTCTCCTGCCAGGAGCTCTATACACGTATTCATTTAAGTTTTACAACAAGCAGGAGATGGAGTCTGGTTAATAAATTTATGCAAGATCGCGTCACCATTAAGCTGTTTTCTTGTCCAAAATGCTCTCCCTGCTGTCCAAAGCCAACTCATCTCTCAAGCCCCCCACGTGTAAACGTCTGTGTTGTACTTCCCGATCCCTCAGCCCATTAATAACTGTCTCGTGAGAAGCATGTAGTCTGTGTCACATGTCTAGGAATTATAGGTATTTGCTTTTTTCTTTTTTTTTAAATGATTTATTTTTATTTATGCATACAAGAACTGCGGTATAGGCCAGAGGTGCGGGTGGTGAGAAGAGTCACCACAGACAGAGAGGGGAGCAGAACAGGCAGATCTACTGAAACACACTGCTGAGGGGAGCAGCGGGTGAGACAGGAGACTGAACTCCTGCAGTGACTGGCAGAGCGTGACAGCACTGAGACTGTAACCCCTGTGCCACCAGGGGGGCCCTGCTTTCTACTTTCTAAGCAGACTGTTAACTCCCGGTGGACGGGCATCAGATCACATTTTCCATGACTCGTGTCCCCTTCCTTGCCTACCTGCTGGCAACAATTTCATACTAAAGTGATTGCCTTTAGCTTACTGGGCAACCCTGACCCAGACACCTAACCTCTCTAGTCTGGTCTTCTCACCTGGAAAATCAGAGCATCAGCCTGGCAAGCTCCCGACTTGTAAGTCAGAATGAAATTTGCTTAGCGCCACAGAGCTAAGTCACGAAGAGAACAGAATCTAAGGTTGCCGGGGCGCCTAGAGCAAGACCGCCCACGTGTCCCTCAGCGGTGACTGAGACAGAGCCCAGGAAAGGGTGTGAGCAGCAAGCACTGGCCAACTCCCCAGCTGACCCTCACACGACTTGGCCCCACCTGCCCTGAAGTGGAAGGGTTTGGAAAAGGGAATCAAGGAGCTCCACTGAGGAAATCACCCCTCACCCCCGCCCATCTAAAGACACGATGCACAGAAAGAACAGACGGAGACGACTCAAAAAGGACCAGAATTTACATTTTCCCACAAAAGACAGAAAAGGCCTCGCCTGCTTTGGGGAAGGAGGAGCTAGTTTTGTTTCACTGCATCCAGGGGCCTCCTAGAAAGATGAGCGCCGACTGGCAAGCTCAGAGTCAAGGCCGGGAGAAAGGCGGAATGCAAGAGTGGCCAGAAGGCGCAGACAGGATGGGGAGCTGGGGCCTGGGGGGAGGAGGCCTCGGGTGGGGCTGGGCTGAGAGCACTAGCCGACCCGAGGTGAGTGCTGTCCCCCACTGGCCGCCAGCCCACAGCCTGTCTGGGAGCAGGCCCCGGGCACCCTCAGACCCCGGCACAGGGCACTTTCTCTCACAGCTTTACGCAGGCCTCTGCTTTGTTTTTGTTGGGCTTGGCTCACTAGCATAGGTAGAGAAAGGCAAAAAGAAAATTTATTTCCTTAGCTGTCAAAGACAAATTTTAGAACGTGTGGAAGTCAAAGTGGGAGAATTTTTGAGCTGAAATCCTTAAAAGCCATGCGGTCCCGCCCAGGTTTTGTTCGAGCTGACCGGGCCTTCATCGGGCAGGGCAGTGTTTCCCAACCCACTCCCATGCCTCCCGCACCCCTTCTGGAAGCTGGATCTGTGACTCACTCTCAGACGTCCTTGCTAGGCGCCTCTGGGGTGGGCAACCCCGCCACCCTGGCCCGTTTGCTGAGTTCTTCACCAGGGGGCTCCTCAGCTGCTTCCAGCTTGCGCTTGGGGGACGCTGCGCCGCTGGGGAGTGGCCGCGGGCCTGCAGGGAAGCATGTGCAATGGTCACGGTGTGTGTGGCCAAGGCGACCCCGGACCATGCGGGGGAGGCTCTCAAGGCAGAAAGCCTGCTCATTAAGGCAGTGCCGGCATCGTGCTCCTCAGACCTGCCCTTGACCCTCCCCCTGCAGCAGTGACCTTGTCTGGAAATGTCCAAGGGGACCCTACCTAGGCTGTGGGCAGCAGTGCTTGTTTTGGACCCTAAATCCCACAGGCTTCAGGCCAGAGGTTGGTTTGTCTTCTCTGCTATCCTGGGTCTGAGGGTGAGGCATTTATTGCCTCTGAGACCCTGGGTCAGCCCCTGAAAGAGGGTGAGCAGTGCCCTGACCCATGGAGCCAACCTGGCTGGGAAAATTAGAAACCTCTGGAGTGCTTGCCAGCCTGTCACTGATTTTTATCCCAGAAAAGTGGCAGGTCTGTCAGTTTCTCCCTTTCCTGTCACCACCCGCGGTGCTGCTGCTATCTCCTCCCAGACAGCTGCAGTCACCTCCTCTCCAGCCTCCCTGGGGCTCACTCCTGCCCACATTCTCCCCTCCACACAGCAGGCAGAGCGAGCGTCTTAAATCATAAACCACATCCTGACCTGCTGCCACTGTCAGTGCCTTCCCCACGCTCTGGCAACAGAACCCTGCCCCCCGCAATGATGCAATGCCTGCCGTGTCTTGTCCTCGTCCCGGCTCCTCGCTTGGGATGCGCCAATCCTTGGGCCCAGTGGGCTGAGCTCATGCCATCTCTGGGCCTTTTCCAGCTATGCCCTTTGCCTGAGTGCTCTTCCCCTGCTACATGGAAAGGATCCTCCTCACTTTTCAGGTCCCAGCAGAGGCATTTCCTGGCTACTCCGGTGGAAACCCCATCCCCAGTCTCTCTCTTACCAGGTCACTGACTGTATTTCCCCTAGCGCTCTTGTTATCTGCAACAACCCTGCATGGTTTTCTTAGAGTCTCTCTCCCCCAGGTGGGGCATAAGCCCATTTTGGCCTGTGTTCTCAGCCTCGGGGCTGGAGTGGGGGTGGCTGCACAGTGCCCTTGGGATGGGCACTGGACTGGAGAAGCCAGATGCTACCCACCTGCATTGCCTGCGCTCCCAGCCTGGCTCGAGCTGGGCTCTGCCACCGGGTTGCTGAGGTCTTCAACACAGGCGGGGACAGATGCCAGGAGACCTGGGAGGGAGGCAGGGAGTAATCAGAGTACAATCTCCCGGACTGTGGAGGGTAGAGCAGCAGGAGAAAACGAGGCAGGGGCCTGCAGGACCATGACACTGAGGTCCCGTCTTTTCCCAATGGCCACCACTACTCAGAGAGGCCTGATCCAGCCCAGCCTGCAGTGTCCTGTGCCCTGGGAAGTCCAGGCCACATAAAAGCCTGGAAGACAGCACTTGGCCTCCCTTGACAAGTGTCTGGCAATGCCCAGCTATGCCTCTGAGCCCTCAGGTGATGTCCTTCTTCCCTTCAGTGAGCCAGGGGGAGCCGGTGGGCGGGGGGCTGGAGGTGGGTAGTGGCTCCTTACACAGTCCCCGGTAGCGGGACAGCTGCTGGTAAATCTGCTTCATTCGCTCAATGTTGAGCCGGCTGGTCTCAGCATGGTTGACGATGGGCCGTGGGTAGTCCACGCCGATGATGCACTTGGCTGCCTTCTGAATTGACTCTGGGGCATTCCAGGGCTCATAGATGTACCGAGAGGGGAACCCTTTCAATTTGGGCAGGTACCTCCTGAAACACACACACCCAACAGCCTGTCACACACTGGGCCCCTCCTTAAAAGCGCCAAGGGCACCTCTTCTTAGGAGCAGGACACAGTGGTCAGAAGTCAGACAGTCTGGTCTGCACCCTCACCTGACGTAGTCTCCACTGGGGTCCGTGCGGCGGCCGAAGCCCACAGGGCAGTAGCAGTGGAAGAACTGCTGGAAGAAGGCGCTGCAGGACAGCCACATCCAGCTGCCCGCATTCACACTGAAATCTGCGTCCAGGAGCAGCTCATCGAATACCTGCATGGAGGAGGCAGGACAGTCGGCCTCCTTGAGGACCTACTGCCATGGCTCTTCCCAAGTTCACAGTTCCCCTGGAAGGAGAGCCAAGCCTGCTGCCGAGGGCCAGCCAAGGAACGTTTGGAGGGATTCATTCACCCCATCCCCCAGCCCTGAAGGAGGCTGCCCAAGCCTAGAGGGCGGGCCTGACTTGAAAAAATACAGGCCAGCCTCCCGCTGAGCGAGCACTCACCCGGACCCCGCTCTCCCAGCTGACCCAGAGGTCCCCGCGGGTGAGGAAGCAGGCCACAGCGTGCCGAGCCAGGTGGTGGATCCAGCCCTCCTGCCTCAGCTGGGTCATGATGGCGTCAATCCAAGGGAAGCCTGTCTTGCCCTCGGCCCACTTGGCCAGGGCCTCGGGGTTGCGGTCCCAGGGGATCTGGATACAGATGGGGTTCCCCTCCATGCGATCAAACCTGGGGTTGTTGGTAGCTGCCGTGTAGAAAAACTCTCGCCACAGAAGTTGCCCAAACAGGGAGAGGGGGGGCGTGCTGTTCCGCTTCACCTGGGGGTGGGAGCAGCACATGGAATCATACCTGCCCAGCTCTCAGCACCATCTCATCTGCAAACGTGGTGGCTCCAAACCCACACATGTACAGAGGACTATCAGTCCCCAGGAGAAGAGGTGCCCTACACCTGCAGCCTGACGGCCCAGGCCCTGTCGTGCAGTACTGCGGCCTGAGGTGGGCTGTGCAGTCGGGTGGCAGGAGGTTGTCTGCAGGAGGATGCCACACTGCCAACTATACCCCAAAGCCTGGCTCCTGAGCCCTGCCCCCAAGGGTTCCTGTTTGGCTCCAATGGCTAGAGCACCAAAGGGATGTCCCTACCTGCACACATAAATGCCCAGTCTAGGTTCTGGTTCAGTGAATCACATACAGCAGGCTAGATGGGGAGCCCGGAGAAAATGGAGACATCAGACCTCTAAGTAAATAATGATGTTCTTAAAAGTCACAAAATGACCCAACAAACTGGCAAAGCCACCCCATGCCACAAAATCCTGGTACTCGCCAGGCTGGGGAGATGTGACATAACCAGGATGACCTGATGAAACTGGAGGGTTGGGGGTGTGACAGGGGAGGGCAAATTCACACAGGATGGGGGCCTGCTCTATGTCAGGCGGGACCCTGCGTGTAGCCCTCAAGTCATTTGCTTGTCGCCAAGGTGACAGGCCTTGGAGCTCTTTCAGCTGCTCTGGCCCAGCCCCACACAGGGCAGCTGGCTCTCCAGCCAAGGACTGGCTCCACCTCATCCACCTTGCACTCCCCACCCTCCCAGCTGAGTGCTTGCCCAGTCCAGTCTGCCTGCTGCCAAAGGCACTGTCACCTCCCGGGTCATGTCCTGAGGTGGCTTTTCCTCCTGTCCTGCTCTGCTGTGATGTGGATCTTACCCCCCCCCCCCCCCCACCCCGAGCAGTTCACACCATGCTCGGGATCTACCAGCCTGTGGATATGGACTCTGCCCCCACCTTTTCTGGACTATACTCACATTTTGACACCCCCAGGGTCAACAACCCCGTTGGTCCCCAGCCCCTTTTCAGGGTCACTGACTGGCCTAGAACACCCTGTTCTACTTGGCCGCCGTGGGGTGGGTGTGCCCCCTCACCTTTTTGTACAGGTCCCACAGGCGGTAGTAGAAGAGGCGGCAGGAGAGGCAACCGAAGCGCAGGTAGGGGCTGAGGCCTGTGGGGCTGGCCAGCAGGGAGTTGGCATTCATTCGTGGTCTCTCATAGTTGGCAACCCAGGCCTGCAGTGCAAAGAGTAAGTGCAGAGAGGAAAGGCTGGATGTTACAGGGGAAACTCAGGGGCTAGGTGGTAAGGAATTCACTTAAGGTCACAGAAGAGCCCAGGAGCCAGGACTCGGGGGTTGCTCTTGGAGGTTCCACTCTGCACGCCAGCGGTTTTCAATGGAACCACCACCAAGCCAAACAATGTGGCCCACATTCTTTTTTATTTCTTAATGATTTTAAAGAAAGATTTATTTATTTATGCATAAACTAACTGGGGTGCAAGCCACAGGTGCAGGGGGGCGGGGGTGAGAGGATTCACCAGAGACAGAGTGGGGGAGCAGAACAGGTGGATCCACTGAAATATACTGCGAGGGGGAGCAGTGTGTGGCCCACATTCTTGTCCTAATTCTGCTATATAATTTGTGGTAACAATGTAGCTCAAGTACCCTTTATCCACTTACACTCAGGAGTCACTTGGGTTGTTGCAAATGGCAAGTTTTCATTCTTTTTTATGGCTGTGTAATATTCCACAGTACACACACACAGAGAGATATGTGTTGCTTAACAGTGGGAACAGATTCTGAAAAATGCATCATTAGGTGATTTTGTCATTGTGTGAACTTACACAAACCTAGATGGTGTAGCCTACTACACACCTAGGCTGTAGAGAGAGACCACTGTGTATAATGGTTCATTATTGACAGAATGTTATGAAGTACAGGACTATATCCCACGGCTTCTTTATCCATCCATCAATGGACACTTAGATTGTTTCCTTGGTTAATTCTGACTCTTGCTTCAAGTCAACCTAAAGGTAACCTTCTCAGCAGGTAATCTGTGCAGTATTAGGTTAAAGTACCGCTAATGGACACAAAATTTATTTGCCTCCTTACATCTGCGCCCATCTCACTTTGAAAATATTTTTTTAAAGATTTATTTATTTATACATACAAGAACTGGGGTACAGGGCCAGAGCTGTGGGGGGTGAGAGGATTCACCAGAGACAGTGGGGAACAGAACAGGCAGTTTGACTGAAATACACTGCTGAGGGGAGCAGCAGGTAAGTCAGGAGAGGTCTGCTGTGCCATGTGGGGAGCTCCCTGGCCAGGGATGGAACTCACACTGCAGTGGCCGCGCGAGCTTCATAGGTTGTGTCTTAACCCCTTGCGCCACCAGGGAGGTCGACTTTGAAAATATTTTTAAGTGAAACCGATACATAAGTCACAGAGACTGTGGCTTAATGAACTATTCTAAGGTAAACATCAAGGTAGCCCTAAAAAAGCTCAAGAATCAGCACTTTACCAGCTACCCCAGAAGCCCACCCCATGCTCATCCCTGTCAGTCCCCTCTCTGCCCCACAAATAACCACTAACCAGCTTTTACAATCATCATGTCCTTGCATTATAAATGTTTACTTTTTTCTATTTTTGCAAAGCACATCTGGAAGGCATATTTCACAGTTTTTCCTTGCATTTTTAAGTGTCTGTTTTTTTCCCCCATCCAGATGTGCATCCCTAGGTACTATAGATGAGTCTTGGCCATTTAAAAACTTGGGTATGTCATTCGAGTTTCTTTTACTCTAAACATTTCCTGTCATTACTGTCTTTTATGTTTAAAAATGCGGGCCATTTGACTTGACCTAGTCCCCAGAGTCCAGATTTCACCATAGGCACTCCTGGGGCAGTACAATGTGTCACTCCGTCCTGTGACTGCCTGCAAATTGGTGGCTGCAACCAGAGACTGGATTGGATTCAGGCCTGACCTCCCTGACAGCCTGCAGTGGGGTGTAATAACTGTCTTTCTTTATGGGTTAAGAAGCCATTAATGCATTGTACAGCATCAGTGGCAGTACAAAATGATGATATTCAAATTCCTTTGTCACTTAAGAACAGGGATACCTTTATAGAGAATTACTTATCCTCATTAACTATGGGGTCACCTGGTGGTAAAGATGAGAACAGATAGAAAAGGCCCTCCAGGGGTAGGTGGAAAAGATGCTCCCTGCTCCGTGATCTCAGGCCATTCCTCTACAAAAAGCTTTTAAGACATTAACAATCCATGGGCCAGGGCAAGCTCTTTGCATTTTTAAGTCTTATTCTTCTGCTGCCATCACATGTCACTTCTGCCATTCTGGCCCAGTCTCATCTAGAAACTGTGCTCCAAACTCTCTGGGTAAAACTCTTGACATGGACAGTGAGAGCTGGTCCCCGCCTATCCCTTAGACAACAGTTTGCATCCTCTTATGACATGGGGCTTGCTTTTAGCCCAGGCTGATGGTAACACCCAGAGGGCACATCCAGGCACTAGGCCTCAGGAGGATGGGCCTGTGGCATGCCTTCCCTCCTGCAGGGGCACCTCTAGGGAAGGGACAGTGTTCTGCCCTGTCATAGCCTCCTTGTGCCAGTTACCACCTAGATGCTGGGCCCAACGGGTAACAGAAATAGAAAAAGTTGAGGTCTCAGGGGCCCAGTCTCTAAGCCAAGTGCATGGGACAGGAAGCTAGGAGCCGACTGTCCTCAGCCATGAGAACCTTCTCTGCTCCTTTATCCCTGGGGCGTGGGGAACACGTGACACAGTTGAGACATGCCTCTGGGGCCTTGTCCTCTTTCCTTCCCCTGGCCAATTCCCACTTCACTGGGAAGTGAGCCATTTGTGCTCTGTGTCCAAGCAATGGAAATCAATGACTTGGAGGAGATCTGGCAAAAGATGAGGGGGACACATAAGCACAAAACAATTAATTTTCTGGGCTTTACTGATGACCAAATATCCTTTCCATAAGGGAACCTGCCTCTGATTAAAGAAATGCCATCTAGTGTAAGTTTTAGAATCTCACAAAACAAGATTTCATTCTACCCCTTACTAACTGTGTGATCTCAGGCAAGTTACTTAACCTCTCTAATTTCCTAATCTGTAAAATGGAGCGTTTAACACTTACCTTGTAGAGCTATTGGAAAGATGAAAGAAAATTATGGAAAACAATGGAAGCAGGTGCTTATTAACCCAGGGGTGCTCAGCCCAGTGACCAGCAACACATGGAGAGCACTCACTCACTAAACCCATCAGCAGCATTTTCCTCTTTTTTTGCCCTATTTAAGCTAGAGGCACGAAGGGACACAAGCCTAGTCTGGTTCCACCCCAGCTTCCCCCACCCGCCGCCACCACCTGCTGGGAGAGTGTCAGCTATGAAGTTCTGCTTCTCAGAAACAGGGTCCATACCTTCCGTTCCAAGTGTTTATCCAGGCGGGCCAGCGCTTCTGTTTCTCCTCCCTGCCAAACAGCTGGGCCCAGTCCCTCCGTGGGGAACCCTACACGAAAGAGGAGAAACAGGTCACGGGGCTGGAGGTCAGGCCACACCAGTGAGTGCTCAGCAAGTCTTGACACACTGGTCTAATCTTTGAGCTTTGTGGGGACTGAATGGCAGCCAGTCTTTTTTTTTTTTTTTTGAACTCCAATGTTCTGGGGCTGAGATAATCCCTAACTTTTTAGGGTTTTCTAGGTCATCCTTGTTCTCTTCCTTCCTTGTTCTCCTGCTTCCCCGTTCCAGCTACTCATCATTCAGGCATCTGAGCACAACCTTGGCCTTCCCCCTCTCAGGTGAGCTGGCCATGGTTGTGGTTCTCAGATGCGAAAGGCTAATTTTATTTAGATTTTTAAAATGGGGGTGGGGAGAGAAGGGGAGAAGGGGGAAAGGGGGTCCTCGGTGAACTTGAGAGGCTGACAGAGCTTTCCACGGAAGCGATACTAGAAACACTGGCACGCAGAGGCCAGGTGACCAGACTGTGCTTATATATTCAGAGGGGGGAATACAAACATAAAGGCATGGACTGGAAACAGAAAATTCCAGCTCAGAGTATAAACAGAGAAAACAAAACAAAACTGGAAGAACATACTCCAAAGCCAACAGTGATTCCCTCTGGGCGGTGGGGTGATAGTGATTTTTCATGTCCATATTCATTTCTCTGGATTTTTAAACTGCCTACAGTAACATGCATTACTTTGACAAAAAAGAGGACAACAGCAGCGATTTTACAAAGAAGTTGGTGCGGGCCGAAGCAGCTTGGGGCGGGAAGCACACACCCAGCTCCTCCAGGGAGGGCACGCCGTAGGTCTCGTCGTGGTTCTCCTGGATCTCGGCCCTACAGCCCTCCATCTGCTGGCTGGTCACAGAGCCCACGGGCTTCTTGGGCAGCTCCATGCGGCTGATGATGGCCTGGAAGCGCTTATAGGTGAGGGGCGGCTTCTGCCCATTCAGCTCGATGATCCTGGGAATCCCACAGTACAGCTAACGTCATCCATAAGGCCTTTGTTCCGGGTCCCTGCCCACCCAGAAAAGCACCCAGATTCTGAAGGCTTACAAGGTGGCATTCCTCATCCACTCATGGGCCCCACCCTTAAGTGGCAAGGAGGGGCTGAGGGAGCTACATTTCCATTTCATCAGGAGGGAAAAGGAAGTCCAGAGAGCTGGAGCAGGTAATGTAGCGAAGCAGGGCCAAAGCTGGGACTCAATTCCAGGTTCCCTGGTATCCACGTGGCGCTGCCTAGAGACACACTGACCGTCTCTCTTAATCACAGAAAACCCCCCACTACCATGTTGGTACTCAGCCTCTCTGCTGAAGCCAGAGTCCCGTGGACCATCCTTGATCCCAGGTAAGCCTGGAGAAAGTTCCTTGATCAGAACTTCTGCAAACAGGTTCCTGTCTGGGTCTGCAACATGGTTCCTTCATGGTCTCTACTTACTAGAACAGGGAGGAGGAGAACAGCTGATCCTCCCTAAATCAGAGACCAGAGCTGCAGTTAAAGGCAGCAACTAATATTTAAAGGATGCTCAACTTAATTCAGAAAAGTTATAGGAGAGACAGAGGAGTGGAAAGGGGGAATTGAGGCTATTTATTTTTTTAAAAGATTTATTTATTTATGCATACAAGAGCTGGGGTACAGGCCAGAGATGTCGGGGGTAAGAGGATTCACCAGAGACAGAGTGGGGAACAGAACAGGCAGATTTACTGAAATACACTGCTGAGGGGAGCAGCGGGTGAGACAGGAGAGGTCTACTGCGCCATGTGGTTTCTCCCTGGCTGGCTGGGGATCGAACTCGGGCTGCAGAGGCTGTGGATTGCTTCATAGTGCGGTGCTTAACCCCTTGCGCCACCAGGGAGGCCTTGAGGCTGTTTATACAAGACAAATTGGGATAGTCTGGAGCCAGATTCCCAGGGCTCTCAATGACCAAGAAGTAGTTCTTGCAAGGCCAAGTGGAGCGGGCGGGTGAGTTCATTCCTCAGTGGTCTAGTATGCTCCCTCTCTTCCATTAGCATTAGTGCAGATGTCAGGTCCCCTCCCACTGCCGTGTGGCAAGTGGCTGGAGGAGGAGCTCCACACCCAGGATCTCCTCCTGCAACTCCAGCTCACATGTGAGCTGGCCTCCTGTCACGGGAGGAGGAACAGGAGGGAAGTGGTGGCTGCTGACTGGGCAGGGCAGCAGCAGCAGGAGAGTGCCAGCTCTGACTGGGAAGGGAAGGAGTGGGTTTTCTCTAAGACTCTGACAACACAGGGGTCCGTCCTCAGGGAAGGAGGCTACTCTATTTATCTGCTCCTTCCAGGATCTCTAGGACCTCCTAGGCAACATCTAATGTATGGCCTGGAGATCCATATGTCAGGGGAGGCCACAGAACTAGTCCTAGTACAGAAACCGGGTCTGTGAGAACAGAGGTTTCTTGGGAGGGGAAACACACAGGGTCCACTGAGGCCAGAGGAGGCCTTTGAGGTGGGTAGTCTTTGAGGATGGAATTGGGGAGTCAGGGCCTGGAGCAAATGAGGAGTAAATCTCTGGCACCCTGAGTAGGGTTCCTCATTGTTCCAAGCTCTGGGGCCTAATAAGCTTCTTTGCAACCAAAGTGGGTAAGCTCTTTGTGACCTGATTTACAGAGTGGGGACTCTGGTCTACTCTTGTTTCTAGAAAATGCCATCCCTCATCTGCAGGTGGCACTACTGCTGAACCTCCCAGGATTCTGTTCAGCAGGGGCCCAAATCCCCAGTGCCCACAATTAGCAGCTCGACCCCTGGATGCCTCTCTTACCTGTCCAGGTCATAGAGAGTGTGCGAGTTCTCAGTCACCACCTCCACACCAGCCTCCTTGGCCATCTTCATGATGGCTGTATCCCGTTCCTTCCCAAAGGGTTCAGAATCATATTCAAAGGTCAAGCGGGTCACCCCCCATTCCTGTGGGAACAGAATTTGTTATGGTCTGTTCTGTGTCTGGGAAGGAGGGAGAAGCTGGGCATTCGGCTCCTTCCTAGGAGGGATCAGGTTAAGTCCAGAAACGTGTCAGAATGGGCTGCAGAACCAAGCAGGGATGGAGCTCGGACCTAGAAAGCAGGCAGTTCACAGGGTTCGAGGCGGACAGGCCACAGGGCAGCAGGGCCAGGGAGCAGCAGGGTGACAGAGCCTGGCCAGTGGTGTCTCTGTCAGGAGGGAGCTGGGTAGCCCAGTGCACTTGCTGTATCCTTGAGGCAGGAGAATGCAGCAGGAGGCTATAAATACAAAGATCTCAGGGGAGCCCCCATGCTCAGAACGAGGCACTGACTCACTGGTGAGACTGCGGGGACAGGACTGCCACCTCCTGCCCGTTCAGCAAGCCTTTCCCAGATTTCTCACAGCCCTGCAAATTTCTGCCCTAGTTTTCTTGGCAGACTTGTGCTATGTGAAGTGTCCTCATGGTTTCCCTGGCAACACTCCTGAGGCCAGTAGCAAGCAGAGCTCATAGGCTCCAGTTCTCAGAGCTTGGGAAGGAAAAACAGTCCTTAGTCCAGAAGTCAGAGGAATCAGATGAGAGGGGCATGTGTTGGAAAAAGAAGGGAGTTCTTTTCCAAGGCTTTAGTCATTTCCAACAGAAATTTCCATATTTCTTAGGAATGCTGGCCCAGTGAAAGGTTGTACACAGCCTACGGACAGCCCGAGAGCATGCAACCAGCAAGCAGAAAACATTCTAACCAAAGACTGGTCATAGTTCCTTAGAACTCTGAACCCCACGGGCAAATGGCCGTGCCTGGGCTGATCTTGCTCAGCGCTGCCTGGGGTCCTGGGCAGGCCTGGTTATTCCTTGGCACTAAACATTCATGGAACTCTGACTCAGAGTCAAGTACCATGCTTAGCTGTTCATAGAAATTACACTGGTAAATACTCATAGCCTTGAAAGTAGTTAAAAAAAAAAAAAAAAACCATTAAATGATTCCTCCAAGAAGCCTTCCTTGATCTTCTTCAGTATGATTCTCCTGCACCTTGCTTTTCCATCACACCACTGATCATATGCAGTGAAGTCGCCCACTGCTTGCCTATTTGCTCCATCCGAGTGTAACTCTCAGAGCAGAAACCAAGCCGTGTCATGCAGCATTACCCCAGTACCTAGTGTGGGGCCTGGTACACAGTGGAGGCTTGGTAAATACATACTGAGTGACTGAATGGCTGATCTAGCTGCATCTCTGGGCTACTACTGGGTTGGCCTCTGATGGGGGTGTGGGAGACACTGCAGGGGGAGGCAAGCATATGTAAAGGCCTGGTGACAAGAACCCAACCCTGCGGTCGGAGAGCCTGTGCCTGAACCCTGGCCCGTCACTTCCTAGCTTCATGACCTAGGCAAGCGACCACTTCCTCATCTGGGGACCAGGGACAGCAGTACCCATCCCTCCAGTCTACAGACACCAAGGGCCACACTAGGGCCAGGCCTCTAGGGCTGCTGTGAGGAATATGCACGCTCAGGTGCATGTTGCACTGGGCCCTCAACGAACACCACATCATGAGGTTTTCACTCTGGGTATGTGGTGGGGAAGGGGGGCGGATGATGGAAGTATTTAGTAGCTGCTTGCCTCAAGTGGGACCCACCTCCTATTTTGCCCCCAAGGAAGAGTACGGGAAGAAGCTGCAGGGGAGGGACATACAAATAGTTGTGTGCTGGTGAGGATGAGCGGAGGCTGTCTAGAGCTCTCTGTCTGTGAATACTTTTGCCACTGCATGAGCCCTAAAACAGAGGGTTGGGGGGGAGAGGGACTGGCTCTGATATAACAAAGGGAGGCCTATGTAGTGTTCAAATGAAGACTTTATAAATCATTATCTCAGGGGGAAGCAGGGAAGCTCACTCAGAAAGGCTGACTTTTTTCTCAATAAGTAGAGCAAGGCAAGACAGGAAACCTCACCCTCAAACTCCTGGCAGAGAGAAGCCGTAAACCATGCTGACCTGAGCCAAGAAAACATCTAAGGAAGCCAGTGGCATCAGGGTGGAATAACTTGCCATGGCGAGACCGAGCTGGGAACCTTCCAGCAAGACACGGTTTCACAGAAGTCTTTCCTCCCACTGGCAAGCTGACTGGCTGAGTGTGCTCCCAGCTTTTCTAGCAGCGGGGGACAGATCGGCCCTGACCATTTTCATTTTCTCAGTCAGAATCTCTCATTCAATAGGCAGGGGAGCCCTGGGGAGCAGAATCTCACCATCTCCTCGGGGTCTCTGCTCGCTCACCTTGAACAGCCTGGGGAACACATCGGCCGGCTGTCCCCGGACGACAAATAGGCGCGAGTTCAGTTTTCTTAAACTTGTGTCCAAATCTTCCAGAGACTGAAGCAGAAACCTGCAGAGTCCACAAGGGCTTTGTTAGTGGTAACTTCACAGTCACTTTCCTCTTTCTTAATAACGCAGGGAGATGCTGGTCACTGCTTATGCCAAACAGCAGGCTCATTTGTCAAGCAGCCTGGGCTCTAGCCCGGCTATGAAGAGGTGATGTGCCAGGTCCCTCCCAGGAAACCCTGGCTTTGCCGTTCACAGGCAATGTGACTTTAGGCAGTTTTTTACCCCCTTCAGCTCCTTATCTCCCCGCCCAAGTTTGCACTGTGGAGTTGCTGTTAGATCCAGCTCGTCGAGTTACTAAGAAAAGCACATCAAATAATGGGTGGAAAGCGCGTAGGACACTCAGTACCTGGCACACAGAGAAGCTGCGTAAACGTGAGCTGCTTCTCACACTGTTGCTTCTCTGTGATCAGAGGCCAAGTCACTTAACCCCATCAGCCTCAGGCCCTGTGTGTAAACATCTGCCCATCACGAAGTCTTGGGAGAATGCGGAGGGAGAACAGAAGAGAGCGCTATCTGAGAAACGAGCGTGGTGCTGTGATACAGGAGCCTGAGGGCCCACCGACGGGGAAAAACTCGGCAAAGCCCTGGACGCTGGACACCCTACCGACGCCAGCCCGCCACACACAGCTGTACACGTCTACTGCGCGGCCCGGGCCCCAGTGCTCCGTTTTCTTTGTAGGTGGCTCACTTTCCAGGCTCTCCAGGCCTGTGGCCACCAGGTCCTCAGCTCCAAAGGGAGGAGATGGCCTTAGAGGGTGCTTCTCTGCGGGCTGTCTCACATGCTTTCTAGAGCGGGGGATGGGGGAAGCTGGTGGCGGGGTGTGGAGCACTCAAGATTCTCCAGACACCTAGTTCAAGGGCTGGGTCACCATGGGAAAAGAAACTGATCTTTGCAATGCCTTTTTTTTTTTTTTAAATTAAATAATAGATTCATGTGGTTCAAAATTTAAATTATAAAAAAGCACACCATAAAGTCGCCCGCTCAATGAATCTGACTCCCCTCTCCAGAGGCATGTTATTATGGATCTGATAGGCTTTTTGATATTTTCTTTTTATTTCTCTGAACACATTTTGAAGGGAAATATGCTCATTTTACAGATGAGGAAAACGAAGCACAGAGGATAATGAATCTGCAGTTACTCAGTGACAAAGTGGGAGAGGAAGCGATTCCGAAGCCATGTTGTCTTCCCTGTGCCCCAATTTTGAGCCTTTTCGTGGCTCGTGAGGTGCTCTGGGCTGAGACCCCACGTGGCCTCATGTTCTTGGACTCGTCTCTCTGCCCCTCCCAAACCTGACTGCGGCTACTTGGCCTCCATCTCCCCTCCTTCCTCAGGAGCCAAGCCCTGCAGAGCAGTGGGTCCCTGGGCACCTCCTGCTTGCACCCTTTGGCTGTCCCGCCCTTCCTGTTCACACCCAGAGCTGTTGCTTTTACCTCGAGCACAGTGAAGCCCGCGCTGCCTCTGCAGCACATTCCCCGAGTCTTGGGGGCTTAGAGCAGCAGCCACGGTTCCCGAGCTGCCCACTAGAACAGCCCTGGAGCCTCTGACGTCCACAACAGACACCCGTATAGCGGCAAAAGCCACAGGCCCATGTTCCATGGGACCCACAAAGCACTGTGCCAGCTGAAGAGCAGTGGGCTCTGCAAGGGGGCACAGGGGGCGCTGACAGGCTGAACACCTCTTCTGCAAACCCACAGCTCCGCCTCTGTGAATTTCTGTCTTTGAAAAAGACTGATGTGCTCAGCTGGGAAAGCTGGAAAGAGAGACGCTGGCCTCCTCCCAGGCCTCAACACGCCTCCTGGGGGGAAAGGAGAGAAACCCATCTAAATATTCTCGAGCCAGCCGAAACCCACCCTGCCAGGTAAATGCCTTGAGGTTCATGGTGGTGACTTCAAGGTCACCAGCACAGAGGTCCTCGGCCTGGGGCTCTCAGGAATGTCCTTGCCACACACTCGGGGGCTTCTTCCTTCACAGTGCACCAGGCTGTGCGGGACTCAGATTTGAAGCTGTAAATAAGACTGACATGCACCTGAGCCCTGGGTGCCAGCTGCCATCTACAGAACTTTTTTTCCTAGACCTTATTTATTTACAGCATCTCTGAAGTGGAGGTAACCCCATGAGAGCCCCTTCTTCTTTGAGAAGGGAAGCTACAGCTGAGGCAGGGAGCAGGCGCCACTTTGAATTCAGCACCTAAATGATAATAACAGCTAACATTTAATGAGCAACTAAGTCCACTAAACCAGGCCCTGTTCTCCTTGATTCACATACCTCATTTAATTTTCAAACAGTCCTATGAAGTACATACATTAACTATTCCCATTTATAGATGAGGAAACTAAGGCACAGAGAGATTAAGCAATTTGCCCAACGTCAAACACCTACTGAGCGGCCAGCTGAAACCCAGGCTCCGTGGCTCACTATCTGTATTCTTAATCACCAGGAACCGCAGCCTCCGGGCCAGGCCTCACTGCCAATGTCCAGGCCAGCACCTTTCTGCCAGACCCTCCTGCTCTGTGTGTGGTCTGAGGATGGACAACACTGGCTGTGAATCACCCAGAAACTTGCTGAAAGGCAGCATATCAGGCTCTACCCAGACCCCCAGAATCAGAAACTGCATTTTAGTGAGCTCCCCTGGTGATTCCTTCACACACTGAAATTTTGGTGCACTTCAAAGTTTTGGAAGCACTGTTCCAGAGACCTGAACTTCCAGCTTCTGTCTCCAAGTTGCCTTTCTTTACTTCCAATTTGTTTCTATGAAACTGTTTCTCTCTGAGATTTCAGCCTCTTCTTTGGCCTGCAGAAATGCTCTGCTATTTCCAATGTCCCTCCTAGCCGAGCCCTGCAGGGCTCCTCCAGAAGGGAGGGTGCAGGACGGCCACACAGTAGCCAGTGCCTCCAGAGTGAGAAGCCACTGCGAGGGCAGACCCATGGAAGCCGGCTGGGTGACAGCTCTGCACAGGAAGGAACTGGAGCAGCAGTGCTCCCTGGTGTCTGTGCACTCCTTCATGAGGTGCTCCCTCAGAGCTCCCCTCTCCACATGGCCAGTTTCTCTCTACTCCACTGAGGGGGGACTCTGAAGAAAGCTGGCCTGGCCACTGGAGGCAGCAGGTCATTCTCGGGCACTCCCAGGCACATTCACATGGCCAAACACTAGAGCACACGGCCCCTGTGAGGGGTCACAGCTCACCCTTTGTACTAGAACCACGCGTGCAGCTGGACCATATTACGTAAGTGCTCTGGAGCCCGAGGCAGAGAACTGGAGAAAATCAAATTGGGATTTCCAAAAAAACAGGAAACGGGTGCTGTCATTCAGGGATCCCACGGGGCCAGCCGAGTACAGTAAGATAGTCAGATCCTCTGGTTAAGCACTTACATTTAGTTGTGGGGAAGCCTTCTCTAGAGACGGCAGACTCTGTGTTGAGGACTATTTTATCTGTTGTTAATAGAAGGAAAGCGCATGGTAGTGAACTCTTTCCTGGGTCCAGATAGCCCTTGACTAAGTTTTTCTGCTTCGACCCAAGATAAGTAACTATAATGGTGAGATCATAGACGGGGCCAGATGGTCACATAGGATATTAATAGAAATTAATTTCCCCTAAGTAATGAAATCCCAGAGGAAAAGATAACATAAATCTACAATCCATGGCGGGGACTAATCTCTTAATTATCAATCAGATAAAAATATACTTATTCTTTCCTAATTTTAAAGATAAAGGTGATGATTTTCTTCCCTTCGGGGCAAACGGAAACATTTTCATAGCAGCAGACAGTAAAGAGAGCTGCTTGGGGACCAGCAGGAACAGTATGAATTACTCTGCCAGGAGACAAAGGTTTCAGTCCTCTTCTGGTTGACCAAGTTCCAGGGCAGAACCACCCACGTGGACAGTCTAACAGTATTGAGCTCCCAGAATTTGGGAAGAGAGAAACGCTTGTTCTCTCCAGGCATCCCGAGGAGTTCCCCGTTCGCTTCATTTATTGATTCTGTGTAATATGGGCTGAGAGAGAACCTCTCTTATTCTGCCAACTCCCTCTGTCTCGAAAGCTCCTGAAGGCAGGTGCAGGACAGGGCAAAGGCCAAAGTGGTTGAAATAAAGGGTGAAGGGAACTGTTGCCAATATCTAAGTCGTAGTAGGGAGTGAAAAACCACAGGAGCCTATTTTGAGTTCCCATTTTTAAAATCTAAAAGCTGCTCACATCCTCCTTTCTCCCCCTTTCCTTCCTTCTTTCTTTCTTTTTTTTTTTTTAAATGCTGGATAAGGGCGAAGAGCTTAGCCGACTAGTGCTTGATGAAAAAAGTCCTGAGGCTCATACAGCTCACGAACTTCCCACGACCACCACTGCAAGAAGTGTGCCGGCCCTTCCTCAATGCTAATAAATACACAGACTTCTCAGCTGCCTTTCTCCATCTTCTTTTACTCTTGCAAATTGCCATGCATGGTTATTTTAATCTGAGCCTTCTGCCAAAAACACTGTGTGGGAGTCTGTAGGAAGTACAGGATAACAGAGATCACAGATTTCGATTCCCCCCTCCTGCAGATGGCATAGGGCCCACCCTTCTGAGGGAGGCTTCTCCGAGACGGCAAAGGATGTATTTGCAGAACTAGGACGTGTGCTACAACACGACTCTCCCAGATCCAGAAACAGGCATGGGTTTTACAGACTGTAGTCATGAGGGGTACAAACGGCTCAGTCACTCTCCCAGACCCCAGCCAAGTGCACAAAACAGCCTGAAGCTCTGCCCTCTTGCAGTATGGGGGCAAAGAGTATGGTGGAAGGAGTGACTGTTTCCAGGCCTAAGAGCAGTTGTCAAATTCGATTTGTTTTGTGGTATTTCACTTCTTTCTTCTGAAGCCAAAACTAATTAGACTCCCTGCCGATGCACTTCAACACAGTTTCCCTGTTGTCCAGGTCAGATGTGCAGTTCTCCAGTGCAGTGCTGCTCAGGCTTTGCTGAGTTTTCAAACCCGAAATTTCCAGGCCATAATCCAGAACAAATAAATCACAATTAGGGTAGGAAGGGGCCCATACATCTTGGGAAGATCCTTCAGTGAGACCCAAATTCATCAAGATTGGGCTCCCCTACACCCCATCCCCCTATTTTTTTTTTTCCCATGGCATTTAGTTCTACTAAATTATGGTCACTTATGTATCTCCCTACACTAAAATACAGGCTCTGGGGCTCTGCACAAGACATTTGCTGGGTTACTGCCTTAACCTAGCAGCACCTAAAGCAGTGCCTGGCAGATATTAGGCGCTCATTAAAATAACTGCTCCAACAATGAACACTTGAAGCTTATATAATGCTTCAATGCAATGACTTCAATAAAAAAATAAATAATTGCTTAATTAATAGCTGCTTTTCTACCCGGCCTCTGACTTCAGGGTTTGACTGAGGCACCTGAGCGGCCACATTCCTTTTCTCCTTTACTTGCTCGAAAGCACAACGGCAAAAGGGTGACCCACTAAAATCCAAAAACACCTAGTTCCCAGCAAATCTGAATTTAAAAAGCAAAAGAATTTTTTTGTTGTTGATTTTTAATCTCTAACACAAAGGACTAGCACTTTCTATGCAATGTCCCCCCAAAATCCTAAAAGAAGAAACTGCTTTGTGACAATGTAACAAGCAGGCCCTCAGATTCTATTTACTCTGCCCTGATTGGCACACTGCCACAGGAGACTGGCAAAGAGAGGCTTGATTTAAATGTCCATTCTGGGGATGGTCATTTGAGAATGTTTGTCAAACCAACCTCCTATCTATAGAAACTGGAGCAGAGGCAGAGCCATAGGTGGCCTGAACACTGCGTGGCAGACTCTCCACAGGGCTATCTTCAGTCGTTTCATACAAATGGAGCGGGAGGGGGCATTTAATTGGCCCACTGCTAAGAGCAGGGCACACACCTTGGAGAAGAAAGAATGCCATACTGAGTACCACGGTTTCCTGAAAATAACCCTGTACAAGGTCACAGGCAAACATCCTCCAGAACGGTGCAAACAAGCCCTGCCGGCTGTTTTAGAAAAGACGGGCACATGATAACCAGACTTGAGGTTTCAATCACTGGCTACGCAGAAAATACATCCACGACCTATTTGTTAGTCCTTTCCCATGATTCTGTCAGCTCCATCTCCTAGCAGTCATCAAACAGGGGCCCTTGATGCAGCTCTCCTTCTCACTACCCTCAGTACCTCAGTTGATAAAAGGCAAATCGACAGGGGTCCAACCGGTGTCCTTTACAATAAATCTCATGAGGACGAGATTCACCCCCACCCCAGCAAGCTCATAGTTGATGAGGGAACTTCCAAAATGAGTTAAGCCATGTTGTCCAGTTCGGGACACTGAGTGCCTCTAACTAAACATGCTCTTGGGATCTTTATTTAAAAAAAAAAAAAAAAAAGGATGAATGTGTCTTACCTAAGGCTAACACAGGGTCCCTAGACATCTTCCGAGGTAGGATGGTCTCCGGGAGGTAAGCCAGGCTGGGTGAAAGGACAAATTTAACAAACCCAAGGCTCAGCGATGACCTTCCGGAGGCCACGGACGGGCCCCTCTCCTGAAGAAGGCAGCATCAGAGGGCGGCGGGTTGCAGAGTTTGCCCCCGCGCCCACGCCACGACCCGCTCCCCTGCCCTCCCCGGCGCACCCCTAAGGGACCCAGATCGGGGGTCTGTTCTGCCTCTCGCTGACCGCAGTCCCTGGCAGGTCTCTGCGTCTCTAGGGCCCGGGAGTTTCCGCTGCACACTGGGGGCGCGATCTCCGTCCCCAAGGAGCGTCCGCGGCCCAGGGCGCTCACCCCGCGGGAAGCGCGCGGGACCCCCGGCCGCGAGGACCCCGAGCTGCGCCCGGGCCCCGGCTTCTCCCCTCCCGAGACCCAGCTCCGCCTCCGTGGCCCGGCGCTCAGGGGCCGGGTCTGCCGGCCCGGGCACGGGCCGGGCCCGCTCCTCCGCGTGGGGAGCGCCCGGCGTCCCGCGGTCAGGCCGCGTCCCCGCGCCCCGGCCTCACCTCCAGCGGTTGATGCCGACCGAGGACGAGGCCGCGAACCAGGGGTCGAGGATGTAAACGCAGCGCACGCAGCGCGCCCCGCGCACGGCCGCCAGCAGCGCGGGGTTGTCGTGGAGCCGCAGCCCCTTGCGGAACCAGTGCACCGAGGACGCGCCGTCCGCCGGGACCACCGTGCCCGCCGCCGTCGCCATCGCAGCCTCGACTCCGGGGCCGTCGCCGCTCCGCCCCGTCAGCGCCGCGGGCCCCGCCCTAGCCCGCCCTGTGACCTATGACACCGCCGCTCCTTCCTCCGGACCCGCCCCCCGAGTCCCGGAGCGCGCCTGCCATTGGCTGAGCTCCTGCCGCCGCGCGATTGGACGGCGACGCCGCGTCCGGCCCCGCCTCCTCACGTTCCTGCCATGTGTCGGCGGGCCGAGGGGGACTTCCGGGCCGCGGAGTGACGCGGGCGGCCGCGCCGGCCCGAGGGTTGGGCGGGGGCTGCAACCCGGGAGCTGGGGTCCCACGCGCGTCCTGCTCAGGGCGGCCGCTGGAGGAAGCTGCCTGGGTGGCGGGTCGCGGTGACCCGGCCAGAGACTTCCAGGACTGACGGCCGGTGTTCCCACGGCAACACCGTCAGCTACCGCGCTGTTTGATCACGCACATCATTCTACCACTGCTGTCATTTTTTCTCTTTTTCGTGTCCTTTACTGATCTTTAATTGTCTCCATAGTTTGGCTGTTGGAAGGCATGCTACAAGGAACACAGGAGGGCATATATCCCTTCTAATTGTGATTTTGCATTCTTTGGGTACTTATCAAGGGTGGATCCTATGTTAGCTCTATTTTTAATATTTTTTGAAATCTCCATATTGTTTTCCATAGGGTCAAGGTCACTGTACTTTCCCATCAACAGTGTATTAGACTTCCCTATTCCCTACACCCTCGCCAACAATTATTGTTTCTGGTCTTTGTCTTTTTGATATGGGCCATTCTCCCCGGGGTGAGGTGGTGTCTCATTGTGGTTTGATACTGCTGTCATTTTTGAGTGCATTTTATATGCCAGGCAGCGTGATCATTTCCTTTATGTAAACGGTCTGATTTACTACTCTGAACTTAGCCCAATGACATTCATTCAACAAACCCCAGTGAAGAAGTTAATCTCATTTTATAGTCGAATTGCTGCAGGTTGAGTGACTTGCTCAATATCCTAAAACTAATAAAATGATTCCTCCCAGATTATTGTGAATCCGGAGCTTCTTCTTTTATCCACAAAGCTATGCTTTTATCTGTACTGAGTTCTTTGCATTTGCAAGTGGCTGTCTAAGGAACAGTAGAGAGGTTGGGAGTAGGGACTGGGGATGTGGAAGATGTGGGTTGAGATAGTAATTATGCTGTCAGATGAACTGTTAGTTCTTTGTAGATCTATGGAGCCTCTGTTCATGAAACATTGCACTGGGTTCATCGTGGGGGTTAGAGATGTAGATGATGCTGTCCCCAACTTCTCCCTACCCTCAATCCTTAACCCCCCCCCCCAAAAAAAAAGACTTAGGTTGGAACTCTGGATTATCAAGTGGAGAACAGGTTATTTCAATTTGGAAGTTGGGTTAGGAACACTTCCTGCTCAGTACCCTTCCTGAACTTGGCAATGAGCAATGAAAGAATTTAGCAATTTATTGGCATCAGTCTATAAACCAGAGCATCATTTACAATATTAGGCTTTCTTTCATTTCCAGTGAGAAACTACTCAAGTTGTTCCTTGGATCTCACTCCTGACTCCATCAGCTTTCTAACTGCCCTTTGTCCTGTGCCACTATTTAGAACAGATGCACTTTCTTGCAGTCTGGTGCCAGCTTGCATCGTGCCCCATCTCCATCTGTGCTGCTTATTTCTGGCCTTAGTATATGTAATGGAATTTCTTAATTGTCTGCCCCATTAGATGGTAAACTCCTGGAGGGCAGGGACGATGCCTTAGTTACAGTTGTATTTCCAAAGTTTAGTACAGTACCTGACACTGTAAGTGAAAGTTGAACAAGGATTCAAGTTGGCAGGGACTTTGAAGTTGCATCAGTCCACATCCTGTTCTTATTTTTGAATCCCCTCTCCAATGCTTGCTGAATGACCAGATGCCACCTCTGACTACTTTTCCTTTGAGATTTTGTGTTCTCCCCTCTTCTAATCTCCACTTTTCTGCGCAAGACCGATGCTCTGCTAGGGATAAAACAGAATATAAGCAGAAGGTTCTTTCCTATAGCTCAGAGATGGGTACTCTTTTCTTCTTCTCCTCTGAATTCCCAAGATGTTTTCTCTATAAACTCTGATCTCCACAAGGACAGGGACCATGGTTATCTTGCTCATCAGTGTATCCACAGCACCTAGTTTGGTACTGGACAAACAGTAGGTGCTCAATAAATATTTACTGAGTGATTGAGTATCATCCCTTTCTATCTTATTATCTTTTTTAAAAAAATTGTTTTATTTATGCATTCAGGAGCTGGGGTACAGTCCAGAGGTGCGGGGGGTGAGAAGATTCACCAGAGACAGAGTGGGGAACAGAACAGGCAGATGGACCGAAGTACACTGCTGAGGGGAGCAGCAGGCAAGTCAGGAGAGGTCTGCTGTGCCATGTGGGCTCCTCCTGGCCTGCCAGGGATCAAACTCGTGCTGCAGAGGCTGCGGTCAGCTTCATAGCTTGCGTCTTAACCCCTTGCGCCACCAGGGAGGCCCTTATTCATTATCTTGAGAGGCAGTGTGGTATAATGGTTAGACCCAATGGTTAGCACATTTGGAATAACTGTGCTCAAATTCTAGTTCAGTTTTTTTACTCTGTGTGACCTTGGGTACTTTCTTAACTTGTTTACAATAGAAATGGTAAAAGTGGCTAAGCTACAGTAAACATTTAATAAGCATCAACTACTATTATTCTGAACAGCAGGATCTGTGTGTGTTTTTGTCTTCCTTGTGATACCGCACCCTGGGTCTTCTACATAATGACTTCCATAAATTGATGCGTGAATAACAGATTTTACTTAGTTTTTTTAAGTCCTCAAAATTATACTAACATAAAAGACACAGAGAAGTAATTACTATAAATCCCTAAAACCAAACAAATCATTATTTTTATCTTCATGTTGCCTTCCAGACTTTGTCCATAAACACCTTTTTGCAGCTCTAACCAAAGCAGAACTGAAATGTTGCACATATTCTGAAACAAAATATCAAGTGTGTTATTGCCACGTCATTGTCTTTGTGTTTGCCTTTTTAATGACTATAATCCTTCCTGAAGTTTGTAAAGGTGATTTATTTTATTGAATGATTTTATATTGTCTATTCAGAGGGTAACATTTAAGAACCAGGAAGTAAACCTGCCACTGGAGAGAACAGCGGTGTGCAAAGTCCATTTTAGGATTTTACACTTTAAATTGACACAGAGAAATGGGAGTGAGATCAACGAAACCTGTAAATTGCTAAAGAGGTGCAATGTAATCGGGCACTATTATCTCTGAGAGAAATGGGACCAAGATTTGACCTCATAGTGTAACAGGGTGGTCTCCAGGAAAGGGGGAGTTTCCCTGCCCCACCCAAGGGAGGGTGGAGCTGAGCAGGAAGAGAAGAAGCTGCAGAGGAGACTGAGGAAGGAAGCAGGATGGAGCCAGGAGACCTGGAGGAGGCGCATGGAGCCTAGAGACACGTGAAGAAACTGCGCTTGCCTTTTGGTCGTGGACTGGGTGACACAGATGTGGGTGAGACCCGTGGGGAGGTGACAATGGCAGCTTTTATCTTGATGTTGATTTTGCTCTTTTCCTTCCGGGCTTGTCTGGTTGTTTCTGACCCTTTGCTGTGGGTCCCCACTGGAAGATGCTTTAGACTTGTGGCAGGCTTTGGGGCCTTGTTCTGGGCCGATCCCATATGGATGGACTTTTACCCACGAGGGGATGGGTAACTTTGGGTGCTTGATTTAGAAACTAGACTCTTTGCCTTTCCTGTATTGTTTCCTAATTGTATTAAAGTTCCTTCCCATTAAAGTCTCATATGTTTTGTGTTGATGCGGCGGATGGCAGAACCCATTTAGAATAGGCAGGTTTGCGGGGTTTGGGCTGCCCCCTCCCTGCCCTATAACAATAGCTATACACCTCATTATTGACAAACATTTCTGGAGGGTTTGCCATGAAAACGCTAAACAATTGCTCCTTGTTTCCTCGAGGTAAGGCTAGAACAAAAGAATCTAGCATATGCCAGGAAGCCTATGAGATTTAAGGAAGGACTTGGCATAAGGGAGTTCAGGCATAAGACTAAAACAGCTAGGCTAGGCAGTGGGACATTTCTTTCTTCGCTGAAAATATTTGAGAAGTTATCGGTCCTGTTTTGTATTTTTATTCTGGTTTTGCGAGGAGATTAGATTAAGCAGCCTTTTACACTCCCTTTGTGCCATATACTTCTGGTAAATGTCCATAACTGGCTGAAGTGCCACGGGGGCGGGCGGGAGCGACGTCCCTGGCGCGCTGAAGTTTCCCGCGCCCTCTAGTGGTGGGACTGGGAAGCAGACTATTTGGACAGAGCCCTCAGCTGGGGCTCCAACCCGGGTTCCCCCTTTAGTTCCTGGACCCTTGCGGTGAGCAGGAGGCTTTCCTGTTTCCAAAATTTCACTGATTTTTAGTTCATTTTAGTTCACTGATTTTTAGTAGCTGATTTTTAGTTCGTTTCCCCCGTGCACTAGTGTCCTTATAGTGCATATGTGTGGGAAATCATCCAATATTTGTCTTTCTCTTTCTCTTTGCTTTGCATGGTCCGTTCTGGTTCTGGGGTCCCATTTCTTGGCCTGGGCAATACTCACACAGACATCTGAGGAGCCGTATACTTTCATGATTCACCCTCTTGTTTGTATGTATGTTACACTTCATTTTAGAAGTTTAGGAACACAAGGTGTGGGCACCCTTTGGGTGTGGTGAGCCTGGAGGCCCCCACCCCATATTTGTCCCTGTCCTCTCTGGCTGTGTTGTTCCCAGAGACTTTGCTTCTAAGGGTGTCCCCTGAAACGCCCAGGGTTCTGTGGAGTAGGGGGTCTTCCTTGACACCAGCGCCTATAAAAAATGGTGGTTTTCTGAGGGTTGCCTAGGAACCTTTCCAGACTGTTCTGTGGGTCAAAGTTGAAGAAGCTGAGTGCTCACAGACACACCCGAGTTTTTCCCGGAGGTGGGAAGTAACCAGCCTTATCTTTTTGGTTAAGTCCTATTGGATCTTGCACCCTTAGTCAAATAGCAAGGGGCGGTGACACGGTGGGCTTGGGCCTAACCATCT